TCAACAATGTGCTGGTATCTTTCTTTCATTATAATACAACTGCACCATACAAGAGGGGGCAAAATCTGGGGTCATGTACATGACTAAGCCACTTACCACAGACAAGTTGGGCGGATGTGAGTCCATAGCTGTGCCCAATGGCTTGTTGATGAGGTGCCAGGGAGTTCAGTACCAGTTGAAAGTTCAGTAGCAGTAAACAGCACAGTAGCAATTAAAGGTCTGGCTACCTGGGGGGTGGATTAGGGGGTTGACTGGAAACATGCAAGTCCAGGCACCTAGGTCGCTGTGTGAGAGAAAGAGTTAGGAGAGAAAAAATAAATAAGGACACCAACAGCAACACTCAGGTCTTACTTCTATGAAGGCTTTTGAGCTGACGCTTTAAAGAGTTGTTTCCATATATTTCCCATCAGAAAACAGGGGAGGTGCTGGTCCAACCGCAGTTCCCAGCACACCTCCTTCTGCAGCTGCTTTAGCTTGATGCGCCAATTCCTCTCCCAAGTCGTTTAAGTGAGAGGAACAAAAATGTGTTGACAACAGGAGGCGTTCAGGTAAAGGGGATTAAAGTAACTCTCAGTGAACTGTCAGTATGTGTAATAGCTGTAATTACTTTCACCAATTATTGTAATCTATACAGCCTCATCCCGCCCTTTTTCTGCACAACTGAATATAGGTAATACTGTACATCTATCTCTGAAATGTAACTCGATGAGGTTCAACATATTTGGAACAGTTTTGAAGAAAATGGAAATATGCTTGTAAAAACATACATCCTTTTGAATGATTTCCAGCCCTTGGCTATGAACCACTCTTGCATGTCTCCTACACAGGTGTTGGGTGGAACTCTTCCCAACTCCTGCAGGATTAAAAACTGCCTCAAGTGTCCTCTGTGAGACAGAAAAAGGGATCATTACTTTGCTCCATACACAATGTACACCAAGTGAGCCCATATGAAAGGACTGGATGTGTTTCAGAAAGTATAAAGGTCTAAAATAAGTGGGTTTTGAAAGTAAAACACTAACCTGTTGTGTATGGTGCTCTTTTTCCCAGAGCAGTAGTACTGATTTTATGTAGCGGCTGTAGACAATGCACTCTTTCCACGTACACAGTACCTAAAATGGAGAAGGATTAAAATACATTTTTGAGAAGGATGATTGTGGATTATGAGTAACATGGGCACAGGAGGTTTGTCATACTTTCTTGTCCTTTGTGACGAGGCCTTTCTTCCCCAGCTTCCTCTTCACCAGCTTCCTCTTCCTCTCTGGCTGGTGAAAGAACCACTTCAAGTGCTCATCATGGAAGCAATTATAGCCAGAGTCCATAATGGCCATACTTGGGTCAGACAAGTCAAACCCAGGGGTCTTCAGGTGAAAAAGACTGATCTTCACAAACCAAAATAACAATACAATTGAATTGACACAGTCATCACAGCAATCAATCAATCCTTTACCTTACAGTATCTTAACAAATCACGTTTCAGATATGTACACTCTTAGAAAAAAAGATGCTATCTAGAACCTAAAAGGGTTCTTCGGCTGTCTCTATAGGAGAACACTTTGAAGAACCCTTTTTGGTTCCAGGTAGAACCCTTTTGGTTCCAATGTAAAACCCTTTCCACAGAGGGTTCTACATGGAACCCAAAATGGTTCTACCTGGAACCAAAAAGGGTTCTACTTTGAACCAAAAAGGGTTCTACTATGGGGACAGCCGAAGAACCCTTTTGGAACCCTTTTTTAAAAGAGTTCTAAGAGATGGGAATCAGGAAGGCTCCTGACATTGTCATGATGATGGCATGTACTTAAAATATATGGTTTAACAATAAAGAATAACCTCAGATTATTTGGGAGAACACATAATAGAATTTACCTTCTCCCCCAATTTCCTCTGAAGAATGACATTGCTGCAGGCTTTTTTGTATGTTTATGGTCATGTGACCTCTACAAAGTCGAGAGCGATTGATAAGGCACAGTGGTCACAGCCTTTTTTGGGGGAGTAACCATAGCCTACTCTACCTATAGCTAGGTTGATGCATTTCTTACAGCATGCTATACGTGCGTGTTAATTCTACACCTTTCTCTCATTTTCATTCCATTCCAAGTTAAAAATTCAAACAGGAACCAAATGGCTATTAGTTAACCTACTCATGTTTGTCTCTTTATCAGCTGTTTTCAGCATTATGGTGGTAGTTCCTTCATCCACACACCTAATAAGAGAGAGAGCCATCTTCAATTGAAATATGAAATGTGCCCCACTTACAACATAATGTAAAATGATGTCATAAGTCAAACGTTGGCCTATACACGTCAACTGAGTTTCAGTAAAGCAAAAGTAGGCTATTTTTGTACCTTGCCATTTATGACTATCTATGCTACATGATATGGTCAGCAAATATAGTTTTTTAGAACAATCAACAGTGGTGTGTGGGAATGATCAGTCTGTCTGTCTGCACACTAGCCTACTAAAGAGGGAGTTCAACCATAGAGTGCAACCTGGTTAGTCCCCTGCAACTGAATATCACTTTTCTGATACCTGGCCCAATAGGTCTAATGAACCCAACGTGCTACTCAAATTTTGGGGACTTGAACTGTGGCTCCTGCGGTAGCATACAGAGGCAAGTTTCTAACGGACGATGCCACAATAACCCGGATCTCTGGACAGGGGCAGCAGGGCCGGCTCCAGGAATAAGCGACATAAGCAGTTGCTTACCAGAAAAAACCCTTACTACGTAGGGGTCTCAACTTACAGTTGGAATAGTAGAATACACAAGGTGCAATTTCGAAATTTGGTTGTGCATCAGCTGTTTTTCTTGTTATGTCAGTCACTCAATTAGCCATGTCAGCTAACAATTTTTAAATATATAAAATAGTCTAGCCAGCTATCTAAACTTGTAGTAACCATGACTGAATACTGACCGGGCAGGCAGGGCATGTGCCTAGGGGCACTGACCTCTAGGGGCCCCCAATGATTTTATTTTTCACTCTCCCTCAGATATCATTAACATGGCATACGTCTTGGCAAAATGTGTAGAATTGCAGGAAATTAGCTTTAAAACTGCCATCAATTCTCTTCACCCCATGGCAAAATGTGTAAAACTGCAAAAAAAGATATCTCTGCCCCATGGCAAAATGAGTACACATTTAATTCCCAGTGTTAAATCAACACTGACAGTGTCTGTATGGGTCCACATTTTTCAGTGTTAAATTAGTTACTTACTTACTTAGTGTAAAGCCTTATTTGCATATTTCCCAGAGTGCCTTGCCTTTTGAGTGACATGTAGAGTTACCACCCCTTGACTGTATTTGTTAGTGACAGAAACATGGTTGTTGCATTAATCCATTTTCAGTCATGTGGCCTTCACCAAGTGAGATGCTAAGTGAATATGTTATCATTAAAATGATTTGGCATAGACTATGAAAATACAGTATGTAGGCTATATTGATTGAAATTAGGTCCATAGCCTACGTATGAAACTAACCGTTTCTGTCCTTCAGAAAGTGAACATTCGGGATTCATCTTGTGCACAACAAGCCGAAATCACATTAGGGCTACGGCAAATTGCCTTACGTGAACTATCAAGCGTGTAGCGCAGCCTTTGGTCACGAAGTCCTGAAGTCTTTGTCTCCCTCTTATGGATAATTTGGGGAAGTGGTAAATTCACAAGCGGAGCTTCCGAGTTCTGCCATCAAGTGTTTTGGTGTGGTGTTTTGCTGAGATGTGAGATTTAAAGGTAGACTCTGCTATATGACGTATATGCAGAATGTAAACAGCATAGTGGGTCAATTTCCGCAGAAAGTAAACAGGATAGTGGGTTAATACCCACAACAACTAAGAGCGTGAGGCTCAACTTCTCCACTGTTTTGGTACCCTGGCTATCACGCTGTGAAGAGCTTGAAGCGAACGTGTGCACATGCGCAGATACTGTCTGTGACTGTGTGAGAGAGAATTCTTGCATCTCGCTCATCTCAATATCTGCTGTGCTGCACGTGGCAACGTCATTCCGCTGTGTCAACCTTTAATTAACAAAATGTCCAAATTCATATTATGCAACTAGACAAAAAACGGAAAGAGAATGTATATTTTCTTGACCGATTTGTGGGCTAAACCTATATTTAAACATCAAGCCTAGCAGATTAAGTTGCCTAACTATTCAGATAAAGTCATGTCTATAATTATTGGCACCCTTGATAAAGATGAGCAAAAAATACTGAGCTAGGCTGTATTGTATGCTCAAAAAAAAAGGGAAATCATATTAATTTATAATAATACAATTGCTTAGAGAAAGAGAGCCCTGTTGGCAGCCCTGTTTTCAATACTCTAGCACCCTCCCCTTTGGAGGATAATGACACTGAGCCTTTTTCTCAAATGTTTTATGAGATTGGAGAACATGTTGGGAGGGATCTTAGACCATTCCTCCATACAGAATCTTTCCAGATCCTTGATATCCTTCATCTGCTCTTATGGACTGCCCTCTTCAATTCAAACCACAGGTTTTCAATAGGGTTCAAGTCCGGAGACTGAGATGGCCATTGCAAAATGTTGATTTTGTGGTCAATTAACAATTTATTTGTGGATTTTGATTAGTGCTTGGGGTTATTGTCTTGCTGGAAGGCCCACTTGGCCTCTACCTAGCAGAGGCAACCAGGTTTTTGGCTAAAATGTCCTGATACTTGGTAAAGTTCATGATGCCATTGACCTTAACAAGGGCCCCAGGACCAGTGGAAGCAAAATAGCCCCATAACATCAAAGATCCACCACCATATTTTACCGTAGGTACATAGCTGCGGGAAGTAGGGATGCTGAGGGTGCTGCAGCACCCCCTTAAAAATCAGAATTAAAATATATATATATAATATATATAATGATTCAATGACGGGTCTGCATCTGCAAGGACGCCCTGGGTAGCCAAGGTAACAGACCTTCAGACATTTTCGGCAGTGCGGTGCCAGACATCATCCTCTCTGAATTCTGTTTGTACTCCTCCCTCCTCTGCATTTGACTCTGTTTGAATGGAGAGGAGGAGTGTATTACGTATTTCTGTCAACTCAACTTTTAGGTGCGCCACTGTGTCTGTCACGACCAGTCGACAGATCCACCCACAGGCAACGTTTTTGTGGAGCGCGCGTCGTGTGAGGAGTATAAAGCTTATTGTGAAATATTTAGTGGCAGGCTAGAGATACTTATTGCGTTTCTTTAGTAATGAGGCTACTACGAAAATTGTAGTCGTATCTAGGAACCAGTCTAAAGCACACAGAAGGAGCGGAACAAGGATCTCCACTCCCTCTCAGACTTGCTGGAAAAGCAGATTATTTGAAGACTAAACTGTAAGTGGAACGTGTCCTGTCATACGGATGTTTGCTATTAAAGTTGCTATTCACCTGTCATGAAGTCTGCAGGTGTTTGAGGATTGGATAGAGCTCCTTAACGTTTGGTATCCACCATTATAGTCTAAGATAGCATATAAAGTGTTTTCTTTGTCCATATAGTTTGACAGTTTGCGTTAATTTAATCACATTTCTCCCAACATGTGTGAGATTTGGTTCTTGTTTCCGACATAATCCATATCAAATCCAATCAGTAGCCTAAAATAACGGTTGTGACGTTTCGTACCATGTCAGGAGTGCATTTTAGTTAACGCTAACCCTTTACCTAACCTGCTGCATAAATTCTCCTTACCTATGAAAGTAACTTCCGTCCGTAGCTGTATACCATCTAGTAAAAAACACAAACAAGTGGTGTAGGCTAAACTACACAACTTTAACAACTGAATACACACTTTGAATAAAAACGCTGTCATACTCATCTAACAAATATTCAACTGAATACACAATCGCATTGAAACTTTGAATAAACACATTCATACTCATAGCCTATAACAAACTGTTATTCAACTGAAGGGCAAACACCTAGTCATGGACGTGTTTTTCACATGGATGTGATAAAAGTTTACTCCAGTGTAGCGCGCTGCGCTCTCACACGCACATCATCACATGAGCCCAGAAGCAGCGCAGGAAAGGACACTTCTGTTTATCTCAATCCCGCAGACATGAATGGACCGATACCCTATTTGGTTATTTCTCTGACTCCTTTAGGGTGGTGGCTGGTAAGAGACTAGGGCAAGGATCAGATCACAGGTTTGTTCATTCATAGGTCAAAGGTAATTTCAGAAAGCTATAGGTGGGTCCTAACATGGGCCTGGAGGTTTTCCTGGTTGGTTCACATAGTCAGAAACATTCAGGAAACTAGTCATAAGACATACACTTGTGAACCACTGGACTAAACCATCATTCTCCCTCTGTCTCTTTTCTATCCCTCCTCTCCCTCCAAGACCATGGAAGATAGCCCTCAGCGGGCCGTGCAAGGCCTGGGCTCCTTCCCGTGGTACGTGGGGGGGACTCAGGTTCTAGGCCTGGCCTGTGTGGTGATCACGGGCGTGTGGATGGGCAGCTATCATGGAGGCTACGCCTGGGACGGTTCGGGACAGGAGTTCAATGTACATCCCCTCTGCATGGTCCTGGGCCTGGTCTTTCTCTATGGAGACGGTAGGGCAGAATTAGAATTAAACCAACTAAAATTAGAATTAAAACCATTCCTCCAGGAATTTAGTTAAACACCTTTTAATAAATCGCCTCAATTAATGGCTCATTGTCCCAGTGATCGAATTGGTAAAGAGCAATAAAGTAGCTCTCCATTACTGCTGCCCTATGTACATAGACATGGAACACTGGTCACTTTAATAATGGAACACTGGTCACTTTAGTAATGGAACACTGGTCGCTTTAATAATGTTTACATACTGTTTTACTCATTTCATATGTATATACTGTATTCTAGTGAAGGCCTATCCTATTTAACCATTGCTGTACATATACTATTTTATACAACGTATTCTTCATATATACTGCATATTCTATCCATATACTGTCCATGTCGTCTATACACCCCATCACATACATGTACACACACACTCAGACATTGCTCATCTTAATATTTCTGTATTTCTTAATTATATTATTTTACTTTTAGATTTGTGTGTATTGTTAGATATTATTGCACTGTTGGGGCTAGGAACACAAGCATTTTGCTACACCCGCTATAACATCTGCTAAATATGCGTATGAGACCAATACAATTTGATTTGATTTATAGGTAAGATGGAGGAGGTAGATGAACAACACTGTCGAGAACAGAGGGAAGCTGAGGCCAGTGTCTTCTTGGAGCCACAATGCCAGTTGTCTTCTCTGTCTGCTCTGTTAGCCTAGGGGTCTTCTGACCTATTGCATTAGTGTGATACTAAGCTAACGCTACACAGGGCTCAGGCACAGGCCTAAGGGCACGCTCTGCAACAGGCATAAATCCCTAATGCTATTAGGGTGGGAGGAGCAGAGATTTTATTATTTTTTGTTTGTTTCCAGGCCATTGTGTTTCTCCCCCTCTCTGTGTGAGAGAGAAATTAGTAATGCAGGGATTTGTTCCCATAAATAATAAATGATAAACACTTACTGGAAAGCAAAGGGGAAAGGTCAGATTCAGTGTACAAAGGCTTTTCCATTGGTCCCTGAACCGTGATTGTAATGAGAGAAAAATAAGTTATTCAGCCATTGACAATAATGTAAATAAAATCTCCTTTGTGGTGTCAAATAAAACAGCCAACAAAACAGATGCTTGTTATTAAGTTAAGTCAGCTGTAGCCTTTTGATTCCTAACCTTGCTACAGCAATTGAATTAGGATATTAAACCTTAAAGGTCACTTAGCCATTAGTGTGAGCGGTCAGTCCAAATGGAGCTGGGATGAAAACACCCTCCAGGGAAACCAGCTGTCCTTAGTGGGATCGGGAGACACACAGCAAAGAGAATTGCCTGGAACGTTGTTTCAGTATTTCTGCAATTTTAATAATACAAGAACGCAGTTGCCATCGGTACTATTGGCCAATGTAATCGCTAGATAATAGTGGACGAACTACAAGCATGTATATCCTACCAACGGGACATTCAACTGTAATATCTTATATTTCACCGAGTCGTGGCTGAACGACAACATGAATAACATACAGCTGGCGGTTATACACTGTATCGGCAGGATAGAACAGCAGCCTCTGGTAAGACAAGGGGTGGCAGTCTATATATACACTACCGGTCAAAAGTTTTAGAACACCTACTCATTCAATGGTTTTTATTTTATTTTTACTATTTTCTACATTGTAGAATAATAGTGAAGACATCAAAACTATGAAATACACATATGGAGTAACCAAAAAAGTGTTAAACAAATCAAAATATGTTATATTTGAGATTCTTCAAATAGCCACCCTTTGCCTTGATGACAGCTTTGCACACTCTTGGCATTCTCTCAACCAGCTTCACCTGGAATGCTTTCCAACAGTCTTGAAGGAGTTTCCACATATGCTGAGCACTTGTTGGCTACTTTTCCTTCACTCTGCGGTCCAACTCATCCCAAACCATCTCAATTTAGTTGAGGTTGGGATTGTGGAGGCTAGGTCATGTGATGCAGCACTCCATCACTCTCCTTCTTGGTAAAATAGGCCTTACACAGCCCTTACACAGCCCTTACACAGCCCAAAGACACGGCGGTTGGAACCAAAAATCTCAAATTTGGACTCCAGACCAAAGGACAAAATTCCAACGGTCTAATGTCCATTGCTCGTGTTTCTTGGCCAAAGCAAGTCTCTTCTTCTTATTGGTGTCCTTTAGTAGGGGTTTCTTTGCAGAAATTCGACCATGAAGGCCTGATTCACACAGTCTCCTCTGAACATGTCTGTTATTTGAACTCTGTGAAGTATTTATTTGGGCTGCAATTTGAGGCTGGTAACTCTAATGAACTTATCCTCTGCAGCAAAGGTAACTCTGGGTCTTCCATTCCTGTGGCTGTCCTCATGAGAGCCAGTTTCATCATAGCGCTTGATGGTTTTTGCGACTGCACTTGAAGAAACGTTCAAAGTTCTTAATGTTCCGTATTGACTGACCTTAATGTCTTAAAGTAATGATGGACTGTCGTTTCTCTTTGCTTATTTGAGCTGTTCTTGCCATAATATGGACTTGGTCATTTACCAAATAGGGCTATCTTCTGTATACCCCCCTACTTTGTCACAACACAACTGATTTGCTCAAATGCATTAAGAAGGAAAGATATTCCACAAATTAACTTTTAAGAAGGCACACCTGTTAATTCAAATGCATTCCAGGTGATTACCTCATTAAGCTGGTTGAGAGAATACCAAGCGTGTGCAAATCTGTCATCTAGGCAAAGGGTGGCTATTTGAAGAATCTCAAACAAATCCAAATATATTTAATATTTAACTTTTTTTTTTGGTTACTACATGATTCCATGTGTTATTTCATAGTTTTGATGTCATCACTATTATTCTACAATGTAGAGAATTGTAAAAATAAAGAAAAACCCTTGAATGTGTAGGTGTTTTAACTTTTGACCGGTAGTGTATTTGGAAACAATAGCTGGTACATGATATCTAAGGAAGTCTCAAGGTTTTGCTCGCCTGAGGTAGAGTATCTCATGATAAGCTGTAGACCACACTACCAAGAGTTTATCTATATTCTTCGTAGCTGTCTATTTACCACCACAAACCGATGCTGGCACTAAGATCGCACTCAATGAGCTGTATTCGGCCATAAGAAAACAGGAAAACGCTCATCCAGAGGCGGCCGGGGACTTAGGTAAAAACGGATTTAAGTTCTACCAGCATGTTAAATGTGCAACCAGAGGGGGGGAAAAACTCTAGACCACCTTTACTCCACACACAGAGACGTGTACAAAGCTCTCCCTCGCCCTCCATTTGGCAAATCTGACCATAATTCTATCCTCCTAATTCCTGCTTACAAGCAAAAACTAAAGCAGGAAGTACCAGTGACTCGGTTAATAAAAAAGTGGTCAGATGAAGCAGGACTGTTTTGCTAGCACAGACTGGAATATGTTCTGGGATTCTTCCGATGGCATTGAGGAGTACACCACATCAGTCACTGGCTTCAATAAGTGCATTGATGACGTCGTCCCCACAGTGACTGTACGTACATACCCCAACCAGAAGCCATGGATTACAGGCAACATCCGCACTGAACTAAAGGGTAGAGCTGCCGCTTTCAAGGAGCGGGACTCTAACCCGGACGCTTATAAGAAATCCCGCTATGCCCTCCGACGAACCATCAAACAGGCAAAGCATCAATATAGGACTAAGATCGAATCTTACTACACCGGCTCCGACGCTCGTCGGATGTGGCAGGGCTTGCAAACTATTACAGACTACAAAGGGAAGCAGAGCCGCGAGCTGCCCAGTGACAAACCTACCAGACGAGCTAAATTACTTCTATGCTCGCTTCGAGGCAAGTAACACTGAAACATGCATATGAGAGCATCAGCTGTTTCGGAAGACTGTGCGATCAGGCTCTCCGTAGCCGATGTGAGTAAGACTTTTAAACAGGTCAACATTCACAAGGCCGCAGGGTCAGACGGATTACCAGGACGTGTACTCCGAGCATGCGCTGACCAACTGGCAAGTGTCTTCACTGACATTTTCAACCTCTCCTTGTCTGAGTCTGTAATACCAACATGTTTCAAGCAGACCACCATAGTCCCTGTGCCCAAGAACACTAAGATAACCTGCCTAAATGACTACCGACCCGTAACACTCACGTCTGTAGCCATGAAGTGCTTAGAAAGGCTGGTAATGGCTCACATAAACACCATTATCCCAGAAACCCTAGACCCACTCCAATTTGCATACCGCCCCAACAGATCCACAGATGATGCAATCTCTATTGCACTCCACACTGCCCTTTCACACCTGGACAAAAGGAACACCTATGTGAGAATGCTATTCATTGACTACAGCTCAGCGTTCAACACCATAGTGCCCTCAAAGCTCATCACTAAGCTAAGGACCCTGGGACTAAGCACCTCCCTCTGCAACTGGATCCTGGACTTCCTGATGGACCGCCCCCAGGTGGTAAGGGTAGGTAACAACACATCCGCCACGCTGATCCTTAACATGGGGGCTGCTCGGGTGCGTGCTCAGTCCCCTCCTGTACTCTCTGTTCACTCATGACTGCATGGCCAGGCACGACTCCAACACCACCATTTAAGTTTGCCGATGACACAACAGTGGTAGGCCTGATCACCGACAACGACGAGACAGCCTATAGGGAGGAGGTCAGAGACCTGGCCGTGTGGTGCCAGGACAACAACCTCTCCCTCAACGTGATCAAAACAAAGGAGATGATTGTGGACTACAGGAAAAGGAGGACTGAGCACGCCCCCATTCTCATCGACGGGACTGTAGTGGAGCAGGTTGAGAGCTTCAAGTTCCTTCGTGTCCACATCACCAACAAACTAACATGGTCCAAGCACACCAAGACATGTGAAGAGGGCACGACAAAGCCTATTCCCCCTCAGGAGACTGAAAAGATTTGGCATGGGTCCTCAGATCCTCAAAAGGTTCTACAGCTGCACCATCGAGAGCATCCTGACTGGTGGCATCACTGCCTGGTATGACAACTGCTCGGCCTCCGACCGCAAGACACTACAGAGGGTAGTGCGTACGGCACAGTACATCACTGGGGCCAAGCTTCCTGCCATCCAGGACCTCTATACCAAGTGGTGTCAGGGGAAGGCCCTAAAAATTGTCAGACTCCAGCCACCCTAGTCATAGACTGTTCTCTCTGCTACCGCACGGGAAGCGGTACTGGAGTGCCAAGTCTATAGGTCCAAGAGGCTTCTACCCCCCCAAGCCATAAGACTCCTGAACATCAATCAAATGGATACCCTGACTATTTGCATTTCTTTCTTAACTGCATTGTTGGTTAAGGGCTTGTAAGTAAGCATTTCACTGTAAGGTCTACACCTGTTGTATTCAGCGCATGTGACAAATAACATTTGATTTGAACAGTTGTTTATTGTGTTCTCATAGCATTTCTGTAACATTTTTCTGCTAACCAACCCTGTCTGTGTTGGTGTGACCTTGGTGGCAGCTACATGTCAAGTGTTTGTGAAAATGCATTGTAGTGGTCTTGTTGAATGACTTCTGCCCCACTCGAAGCCTAACCTTACTTAACCTTCACCTCAAACTCACTGGGACTAAGACAACCCCATAACTACCCTGATTCACCCTTTCTTTTGTAGTATCCCACCTGTTATTGCCCTTGGTGCCATGTAGGGTGTGATTATGGTACTATGACAACAGTAATGACTAACTTTTTAAATGGTTACAGCAGATTAAGGTGCAAAAGCAATGTTTGAAGCTAAACTATTATTTGTTTTATTTCAAATTAGTGTATAAGCACGTTATTACAACAATTAATTTACACATGCCATGTACTACGTGTGAACGTTATGTAAAGTCTGACCACTGTATATTTAGCCAGGATTGACTTTACTATTATCTTCTTGTGGAAATGATTATGTTTGAATAGAGACTTATGTAAATGCTAACCAGACATGTTTGTCTCTCTCACAGCGATCCTGGTGTACAGAGTATTTAGGAATGAAAGCAAACGCAATGTCAAGATTCTCCATGCTGTGCTCCACCTTCTCGCCCTCATTATCAGCATAGTGGGTAAGGCCTGTGTGTGTGTGTGGAGGGTGTCCGTGTCTAAGGGCAAGACTTGTTGTTTTGGCCTTTTCCCCTTGAACCCAAACATTCTAAACTAATCTAAATGTGTAGCTATTGTATATAAAGGAAAATGCCTAACCTAGCTAGTTAGTTGAATATATAAATGACATGTCTTACATGGTAAGACAAACAAGTGGACTTATCTATTGGAGGGTCATAAATTGGTTCTCTAGGGCCAGATCAGTTGTTCAGGCCCACAGCTAGGGCAGACATAGAAATCATCATTCTTTTCAGGAGAAAAACAAATACAAACTACTTAACGGTGATGGCATGGCTCCTCAAAATATAAGGGAACTGGCAAGGTTAAAAAATGTACAAACGTAGTAGGCTACGAACATGGGTAACATGAGATGAGACTGCGCATACTAACCATGAATCAGTGGTGCGCCATGGGTGTGTAAATCTGTGAATCACCGTAGCCTACGTCATGTACTGAGGTCTGGAGTAGTCATGGAAACAGGCAGGTCTACCCAAACTGGTCATCAGTCTAAACCAGGGCTGCCCAACCCTCTTCCTGGAGATCTACTGTCCTGTAGGTTTTCAGTCCAACCCAAATGTAGCATATCTGATTCAGCTAGTTAAGGTCTTGTTGAGCAGCTAATAAGTAGAATCAGGTGTGTTTTAAATTAGGGTTGGACTGAAAACCCACAGGACGGTAGATCTCCAGGAAGAGGGTTGGGCAGCCCTGGTCTAAACGCTGCAATCTGGCTTCAGGCAATCCTTATTGACTCAGAAACATTTGGTTTGCAAGGAGGGTGATCATATAAATAATACCCACAAATCCATACATGGAGGCAGGTAAAAAACATTGTACAGAGTAACATTCATTGATATGTACGAAGTCATAATTTATCAAGATTGTTCTATACAAAATTAATGGGAAAGATTGACACTTACATCATCAGCACTAGCTAGCATGAGTATTATTGTATCTCCTCAGGTATCGTGGCTGTGTTTGACTTCCATAATCATAACAAGATCCCCAACATGTACTCCCTCCACAGCTGGTGTGGCATGCTCACCTTTGTTCTCTTCTGTGTACAGGTCAGCCCTCGGCTCTCTTTCTCCTTCACGCAGTCACATGCACACACAAAAACCAAACAAATAATTTCTTCCTTGTATCAGAATTTCAATTAATGTACTGTTTGCACTGAGAACCTAGCTGTATACAGGCAGTACCTCTTATGTTACATTCTAATAGGCATAATAGTTTAATAACATTAGTCCTCTACTCCCTCCTCAGTGGCTGATGGGGCTGGGTTTCTTCCTCTTCCCTGGGACGTTAATGGCGCTGCGGAGCTGGTACCTGCCGCTACATGTCTTCTTTGGCCTGGCCATGCTCGCCATGTCCCTAGCCACCTGCCTACTGGGCATTTCAGAGAAACTGTTCTTCAGTATCCAGTGAGTATTACTATGCAGGGGCTCAGTTCCAATATCCATACCACCACTTACAATGAAGACATTTATACAAATGGCATGGATTTTAAGTGGTATGCTAAAATACAGAAATGCACATAATTATTGGGTTAAAAGTGAAAAGTAAGAGAAGTGCCAGATGTTCAAGTCAGTGCTATGTTTGTCACTTTGGATGATGAAGTGCTACTACTTTGCCCAGCTCTACCCTGCTAAATCATAGGAGAGTTAATTATTGTACAGGGTATGTTTGGTGAAAGCTGGGGTTTTGCTGTCTGGGCTATCTTTATGACAACATGGTCAGACATGGAGTCTTTGCACATTATGAATCATTCTCCTGTTGTTTGGTGCCATATGTTGTTATGCTTAAGGTCATCTTGAGTCACACAGAACATTTTATAACTAACGATTCATTACAAACGTTGCCATTATGATATAATACAGAAATCCTTTTTCTTCCCAGGCACACATATTCACAGTTTGTGCCAGAGGGGATCCTGGGTAACATGCTGGGACTGGTGTTAGTAGCTTTTGGGATTCTGGTAGGCTACGTGGTGACACGGGAGGACTTCAGAAGACCCCCGCACCCAGAGGAGGAGGCCTTATCTGTGCACTTTAAGACCCTGACTGAGGAAGGAGGGAGCCCCAACTCGCCTTAACATCCCCTTTTCGCTTAAACCAGGAAACACTCTGGTCTGAAAAGCTACTGTGTGTGCAGACTTTTAGTAAAAAAATCTGGTGTATGAGAGCTGGGTTAGAACAAAAGCCTGCACACTCGGTATCTCTCCAGGACCAGTTGGAGATCTGTCTGATATGCTGTCTCTCCATTTCATGTCACATCTCAAGAGCCATTCTACACCCCCTTGTGGCGAAACTGAGGTATGAGGACTGATTTGACCAATGTATTTAATTGCTGCCACAGATGAACCATCACAAAAGTGCCATATTAGGTCTCTCAAAACAAAATAGCCTTTGATATGTATTTAGTGAGGACAAAGCCTTGTGTCCAAGCCAGTTAGTTAGTTGTGCCTTCATCTAGGGCAGTAGGGTTATACTTTGTAATACTGCCCAAACTGGTAACACTGGAAGTTACTCCTCGTTAAACAAACTCTTAACTTCCATGACTTTCAAGCTTGTGATAAATGAAGAAGTTGCAGTTCATTCAGGGATATGTTGTTCGTTGTGACAAAAAATATTGAATTAACCATCTGTTGGCAGTGCTGAATTTATGATAAACTGAAAGGACCAAAAGAATGCACCAAGTTATGACTGAACGATGCCTGGATGTTTTGGGTTGAATTCTAAATGACCCCTAGGCACTCCTGTAGATCTGAAAGGATTGGATATCTTAAAGCAGTTTCTTCACCATTCCTTATGTTCGGCTGGGTTGAATTTTTACTATTGATTCAGGGTTTCCCAACCCTCTCCTCAGGCCCCCCCCAGACGTTTCATATTTTTGTTTTAACCCTAAACTGGCACACCTGATTCAATTAGTCAAAGGTATGTGACAAATACGATTTGATTTTGACACCGAAAATCAGGATAATCTTTTCAGACTTGAAGGGTGGATTTAGAAAGGTGAAAGGCACTACAACCAAGACATTTCAATGTAACTAACTTTTAAATGTTCTTACATCTTAAAGGTTAAATTGACTGTAGTATCGGTATGTGGTCAGTTATATTGAGAAGTGTCAAATAAATGCATGTTCTTAAGTGATATGCAGACTTTTTTCATCTTAGTTACTTTAATTAATCTGTTTCACTATGACTGTGTAGAAGTAGTGATGACCTGTCCAGTAGATGGCAAGGGGTAGGCCTACTTAAAGCACTGAAAATCCAGATTCTGTGATCATAATATTGTAGAATCTGGATCAGAATCTGAACCTTTTTGAAAGAACGGCTCAATTGATCGGATCCAGAATTGCAAAATAGGGGTTTACAGAATCAAGATAATTTTTATCCAGATTAAACGTTTTGAAAAACTGGGCTAAGGGGTCAATTTGGTATTCAGAAAATATCTTTATGCTTCTGTAGTGTTTAAGTGTAAAATGCTCAGAGAAGGGAGTAATAGTATGTGTCAAACTGTATGTAATTGTACATTAAATAAGCTGCTTATATCGGTTGTATCCATGTTTGCTGTATATGATTGTATTTAAGAGAATAGATATTATGTAACAGTCAATGGTTTTGGCAGATTAATGTGTCATGTATTCTGTAATTTGCTTTGTTTAAAGCATCTACTTGTCCTCATATTTAATCAGTTTAAAGCATAATGTAACTAAGATTACTTGAGATATAATATCACTGCTTATATATTTTCACTTGTGAACTTGTTCTGTACAGTAGACACTGCTCACTGACCAAATGATTACAACCTATATTGCCGTCATATCACTGTTATTAAAGATGCATGACTCAATCATGACCTTGATACTGGATAGGTGTGCTTTGTTTGATATAGTCAAACATTATCTGTGTCAACATGTGTTTAAGTGGCGTCTGAGTTTAGGAGGCCCTTCGCCGATGATGGTGTGAACAAGCTAAAAGAAAAGTCAAGGAGCTGACACACATTGTTTTCTTTCTTTTCTTTGAAGTGGTAACTATTTTTAAATAAGTACATTTCCTCATACATACAGTTGATTGTACATTTTACAATCGCTTAACTGGGTTAAAAACGCATTCATGTTTCTTATTACCTTCTCGTTTCAAAATGCCACAACTCACATATAGACAATTTACAGAACTCTGCTCAGCAAGCCCAAAAAAAACAGTAAAAGGGGAAAATATTTGCCTTCTCCTTCCAAGATAAAAAAAAAAAATGGCTGTTCCATCAGTTCCCCCGCTTCCCCCTCCAAATATTGATAAACTGCTATACAAACATGTTACAAATACATATTACCTGTTTATATCAGCATGGGAGTAAGCAGAGAACAAACATGCACTTCTATGCAGCTCAGCATGGACAGTTATTTACACTGGAACTATCAAAAAAAAAGTTCAAAATAAATGTTATATTATGCCTTAAGTCTTCCTTATCTTGGGAGTTAATCCGGACAGGAGAGGATATTGACTATAGGGATAAATCAGATGTAGGGTTAAACTTTGATAGACAAGAGATGCATCCAATCAACTGGTTCATTCATTTCCTTCAACGTCCTGGTTGGAGTGTTTATGAACCGATCGGAGAGGCTCCACTTATTACCAAACAAACCCCTCCAAACATAATCAAGCACACCAATACACAGTAAATAATTATACAAAAATAAATTAAAAAAAACTGTTTACCCTGGCATTAGCCCAAATGTTTGAAATTTTTAAGCAACAAATGACTGAGTAAAAAATACAAGAATGAAGACTACAGTAAATAAAAATGTAAACTTCACATAAGTGGTTCATTTGTTCTTGTAAGACAAGTATCCGTTTTCAGCTGATTGTTGTTCATACAAAGTGCCAGTAGGGGGTAAAGGGTGTCACCAAACTGGTGGGTAAACTGCACTGTAATTGTGTTGCATTGACTTGCATCAAATCAAAGGTATGAAATCCATCACAATTGACAACCTTGTATAGATAGATCATAATCTAGTTCAACCATGTCATGTAGCCTAGCCTTGACACCACTTTCCTCAGTGTATTTTTTTAAACATCTAGTTTCATGAAAATGCACTGTAATAGAAAGTGTAACCAAAATGTAGACATTGGATGGTTCTGTACGTTTCTAAATATACAGGCTGACTACACAACAATTGATAATGCAGTTTACATCCTTAACCTAAATATTAGCTTTGGACCCATTTCTGTTCTATATTGAAGACACTACGTTTGACCACCTAAATTCCATTGTTTTATGGAAAGCATTTGGTGGATGGATAAAAATAGTCCTTCAATGACCACTTGGGTCATGTGTGCATGCTGCCAACATCTTTGACCCTTTAGTGGCCAAAACGGTGTATTACAGTGTTATGTTTGAATAACTGCAGCTTTGATTGGTAGAGATAATTCAACTGTAAAGGGAAACATTCAAGTTATTGGAAAATAAGAAATGCCCGTTTCCCAAAAGCTTCACAAAGCCTGCTGCATGTCACTTCTTGAGCAAAAAAACAACACAAAAGCAAAAAAAGTTAAAATACAATCCAAAATAATATATATAATGTATTTTACAAACATAACTTAAATGATAAATATTACTTTTTTTTGCTTTTCCTATGTACAAGTATATTGACTCTTTTCAGTCATATTTACAGCAGAGGACCTGGTCATCTCGGTTAAGGGCGGCATTCTATTGAGTCGTTCTAAAGAAGGCATTGAGAGTTTGGATTCTCAACAGAGAAGTGCCCATGGCTTGGCTCTGACCATCCCAGGACAGGCATTCAGGGGCAGTCTCCCCTGCTTGAGATCTGGTCAGGGTGTGCGTGCGTGTGTGGCATTAGTCCTCCTACTGACTCTTCCAACAGACTCAAGTTCCTAAAGTTGTGGATCATCCCTGCCCCCTCCACTTTGACTATACAAACTAGGCCAAAATATTCTGGAGTACTGGAGGTGTTGGATTCACCTGGCAAACTGCAGTTTTATGTTTTCTTGTATTCATCCATAGCAAATGGCTGTGTAGGATAGAGGCAAAGAAGATGCATGGGAGGAGAGTTTATATGTGTGTTTGTCTGCAGTAGTGTTTCCTTCCCAGTCTCATCACATACCCTTGGGGTTGTCTCTAAGTCATTCCTTATCAGTCCTCCTCTCCCTCAGTCCCTCCCTACACGTTTGACTCCACGAAAGGTCTCTTTGGTTTGATAGGGGACGTGGGGCCCTGCCTGTCCCTGGAGTGCTGCATGTACTCGCTGTCCTGGTAGGCCTGGGCCACAGGCAGCGTCCGGGCCACCTTGACGTCTGGGTAGGTGGGTGCCTGGCTCACGCGGCCCATGACGTCCCGCGAGCCGTTAGCTGGCGGCTGGTAGTAGTCATTGTCCAGGAGGTGTCCATTGTGGGCATTGTTGGTGCGGTTGTAGTAGGCGATGTGTCCCAGGCTGGGCTGTTGGCTGTAGCCATGCTGAGGGCCCATGTTCCCTGGAGACGTGGCGGGGCTGGTCACCACCGTGTCCAGGGAAGAGATGGCCCAGGAGCGCCCTATTGTCTGCGGTTGCGGTGGCTGTGGCAGGTACTGGTGAGTTCGCGCTGTCTTGTCGACAACGCCCATGAAAGGTGTGTTTCTGGAGCGGAGTGCCTTGTCTGGGTACGTCCCTCCCACCACCCTTATGTCGCTGCCCTGCGGTGGGGAGACAGGCGAGAGGTCGTCGCAGTAAACACTACCATCCTCATATGACAGTTGTAAAGGGATTTCCATCTGCTGGGCCGAGGTGGAGCCCCGGAAGCCTGGGGCTAGATTAGCTGCGGAGACCCCACCCAGGCTGGTGTTGGAGGGGGAGAAGCGGAGGCCTACACTCTGGGAGTGCATGAGAGGCCGGGGAGTGGGTGCGTGTTGCTTTGGCTCTGCGCTGGTGGCACTGACAGGTCGGCGCAGGCCGTGGGGGTTCTCTGGTGATCCCAGTGCTGCCTGGTGCTCCATCTCTATCTCCATCTCCATCTGAGGTGAGACAGGGTAGTACGCTGCCGACTGGCTGCGGCTGATCTGGGGGGCCTGGCCGTAGCGCGGACCTCCAGGCCGGTAAGCTGAGGAAGGCCGCTGGGGAAGCTCGTCCTCCATGGGGACCATCTGGATCCCACCGATGCCACCATGTTGGTACAGTGCTCCTGCACCGAGGCTGGCCTGCACCTGCAGCGTGGGCCTCCCCTCCAGGGCACTGGGGTATATATTCACCCCGTCCCCCAGCTCGACCAGGTCGGGGGGGAGGCGGGTGCTCATGGAGTGGGCCATCTGGCTGTAGGCACTGGTGCCCAGCACAGCACTGGAGTGCACGGCGGAGCTGGGCTGGTTGGTGCGTACTATCTGGGCCTTGGCAGGCTGCAGCCACTGTCCCTGCTGGGGAGGCTGCTGCTGAGAGGGAAGCTGGAAGGAGCGCTGGCTGCTCATCTTGGATAGCGGAGACTTGGGCCGGCCAGGTATCTGCTCTGACTGGTAGCGGGCTGAGGCCGACTGCGGCCGGTACAGACCTCCTCCGCTCTCTGAGGTGGGGCTGGCGCGGTACTGGGGCCCCCGGCGGAGAGGCGAAGGTGGTGGGCTGAAGTTGTACGACGTAGAGGAAGCCTGGTGGGCTGGGGAGGTGTGCGGGGGGCTGGGCCGGTAGTGGGAGCTCTGGTGCGTCGGGGAAAGTGACGGGGAGGTGGACTGGTAGCCTTGGCGCGTGGGGGAGGACATGGAATGGGGGCTGGGGTGCAGCTCGAAAGCCTGGCCCATGGAGGGGCCTCCGGAGAGGTAGGGCGAGTTGCGGTGGCCGGGGGAGGGGGGCAGGCTCTGGATGAGGGGCAGGCCAGAGGGGCTGGAGCGGGGCTCAGGAGCCATGCCCATGGGGAGGCTCTCCAGGTCCTGCTCCAGGTTGTCCTCTTCAAACAGGTCCTGCACTGGCTCCATGTCCTCCAGGCGGGGCATCAGGGACTGGGGAGGGGGCGGGGCCTGCTCTCTAGGCGGGGACGGGGGAGGGTCCAGCTCCTGTTGCTCCTCGAACTGAAGACACTCCTCCTCCACCCTCTGCAGCAGGCGCTGGATCTCCCGGTTGTTGGGGCAAAGGAGGGTGGCCTCATTCAGGTCCTCCAGGGCTGCATGGAACTGCCTGTGAGGTGGATACACAAGGAGGTGAAGAGAGGAATATCAAGAGAGAAAAGAGGGGGATTGAGAAAGAAGAGAACGCATTATGAGGGAGGAGCAGGAGAGGTGGAGTGGGCACAGATGAGCATGACAAAGCATGAAACCAAAGACAGTGAGGGAGTAGCATGTGGTCAAAATGACAACACCACAACTGCTCAAACTACTTGCCCTCACATAGTAGTCAGACAAAGTAGTCTTACGCTAAAACATCAAAAAATGAGCCATGACTATGAGCAGGAGAATGAACAAGTCATAGGACTAAGGGGATACATGATGTGTAAGCAGACATAAAAACCAATGAACATGACATAGGGTGAAAAACATGGCCAAAATGCTCATGAACCTTGCTCTATTACGTCCCCCTGTAGTCATCTGTCTACAGCGCATTGGAAACCTGGTGATCATGTGACATGAGCGGGCCCAATTGGATCCTAAGGCTGAGCGCACTCTGTGTTAGGCCTCCGCCTCCCTGTACTCCCCGTCGCTACGGTTACCTGCTGCTGCGCTTGGCGCGGGCTCTGGCGTAAAAGGCCTCGTACGATTTGGATTTCAACTCTAGCGCCTTGGTAGCAAACTCCTCAGCCATCCCAAAGTCCTGCAAGCAACAACAGCAACAGGGCCGACAGTCATTCACAGAACCACGCGTGGATCGGTACATGAGTCAGAAATGAGTCAGAGGTGAGTCATACATGAGGCAGAGGTGAGTCAAAAATTAGTCAAGAGATGAATGGATAAAAGGTTATAGATGAGTTGTACAAAGAACCATGTACAGAGTCAAAACGAGTCATATGAGAGTCATTCAGGAGTCTTGTCTCAGTCATACATAGAACCATACAGAGTAATACAGAAGTGAATAACTGAGTCGATGAGATCGATGGAAACTTGGGTTCAGACAGAAGACACCCAAGAAAAAAACTGAAAGACAAATGGGTGACACAATACATGAGACCATACACGACTCCATGACGAAACCATGTACATTTAGCAATTAAAAACATTGATATGAACACACAAAGGACACAGACTTTCAGAGACACACAAACACAAAAGACAAACACACATTCACACACACAGAAACCGCTGTTGCACTGCTCTGTCATTAGAACCTTGCCTGGACACTATAGCCCTGACCCAGACCAACCTCCCCTTGCACCCTCTCTAAAGTTACCAGAGGTACAAACCAAAACAAAGCAAACTATAAGAGGGAATGGAAGATGCAGGGATATGGGCCTAGGTTAGATGAGCCTAGAGTGAGGGAGATTTACCTTCAGCTATAAATGAAGTCTGATCTACTGTACATTGTTGCACAATGATATTGCTGTCATCAACTTTTGGAAACCAATATTTTTATACTGCTTAAATCCATGTTTTCATTTTATCATGATCAGAGGTGCTAAATATTTTTGTATGGGTCGTTGTTTGTAAGCACAATGAACAAGCATACATCCCAATGAGGGATAATAACGTTATTTTGTATTGTAATGTCTTGGTAAACCTTGCAGATGGTAATGCTGTGAGTGTAAGCAAAAAAAAGCAGCTCCAGTCACAGCCAGGTGGGGTGAGGGGATAGAGGAGGACACGGAGGTTATTTAGGTGGTGCAGTGGGGTGTCACTCACGTTCATTTTCCTCCGGCAGCGGGACAGGTTGAGGAGGAGGGACACCTTGAGTTCTCTGAAGGTCTTGAGGTCCTCGCTGAAGCCCTCGCGGGGGAACTTCTTTAAGGCGTACTGGTACCGCTGGGCAGCCTCCTTCACTTTACCTTTCTACAGGATGGGTAGAAGAAAAAACCCTCAGAAAGGAGAGAGACTTGCATGGTTTGGCACCACAACAGTGACCCTCAATGACCACTGTGCTATTTGCTATATTCTAGGAAGGGCTGACCTTGTAGAAGCCATCTCCTTCCTCTATGAGCTTGCTGAGCAGGACGATCATGATGTCGGGTTTGGAGGTGGCCATGGCCCAGGTGGCCGGACCTGGTGGAAGACAGCAGGGGGCATAATGGGTAACGGGGAGTGGCCGGAGGAGGGTGGCGATGACAGGAAGCGGTGGCGTGTCTCAAGAGTAAAAGGGACCGACAATGAGAAGGACAGACAAAGGAGTAGGCTGAAGTTGCCTCTAGATGCTGATCTAAGGTCTGTTTTGTTTTTCCCCTCCAGTAATGGTTTAAGTTAGCATTTGGAGAGAGTAAACTGATCCTAGATCTGTAGGTAGGGGCAACTTCACCTCGGAGTGGAGCGAAACCAGTTGAGAGGTCGAGATGACGATGAAGCTGTACCCGAGATAAATATGGCGTGACTTACTGAGACAGACAGGTTTGGGGTTTCTTTGCCTCTGCATGGGTCCATTTAAGCACTCAGCTAACAGATGGATACATAGATATTGACCTCATACCTGGTGCAGGAAGGATCTGACTCAAGTACAGAATCAGTAATTTAATCTCTAGTAAAGAAAACTATCAACTTATTTATGTGCCAATGCCAATCTCACCCAACATGAATACACAATAATGCCTCATTATTAGCCAGAGTTATTCTGTGTTATTCTGCATGCTATGTGTAGGGGGGACAGGCAAGCACAAGCCATGCCAGAGCAGAGGGGGTTCACATATGCATTTATGGCTTCCCACCAGCAGGGGGAATGCATGGACTGTGGGCCTTGTTGTGGTGTTTGTGTCACAATCTCTTTTATCGGGCAGTGGATGACTTGGATGGTTAGCTTACTTCACAAAACCACAAAGGCCACATATAAAGAGAAAGGAGGGTTAAAAAAGAGGACGAGCGAGTGAGAGAGTGAGAGCAGAGATATATATATATAGAGAGAGGGCAAACTGTGTGTTACCTCGGGGTCGACTGGGAAGAGTCTGATATCCTGATTACGGAGAGGGGGCGGAGCCAGGGTTATGAGTGACAGGTTAGAGAAGGGAGTTAGGTGTGTGAAATGAGAGGAAATGTAATGGAACCAACCCAATAAGAGGAAACCAAAAGAGAGAGTGTGTGTGAAGGTGAGCGAGAACAAGTGAAAAGTGAGTGAGTAGGGAGGAGGGAGTGAGTGAGATGAAGAAAATAACAGAAAGAGGCAAAAGTGAGAAGCTGTGGCCAAAAAGGTGTGTCAGCAAAAGAAAAAAGGTGCAACAGCAATGCCAGCAGCAGTAGGAGCAGAGGGAGGGGCCTCACATCCACCATTATAAGCATGGTGGAAACAGAGGAGGGGGTTAGTGGGGACTGGGGAGGAAGGCATGGAGTAGCCTTGGGGAGCACCAAACCACTTAGGGAAGAGATTCAGGCAGTAGTTGACAACATTCTAGGAGTCAATGGCCACTATAGTCCAACCGAGGGGAAACACCACTATACTTAAAATAACTATCACTGACTAAGGTTGTAGCTAAACCACTGAAGCTAATGTAGAACAATATTGCAAAATTAGAACAGACAGTCCTATATACCAGTGTTTTTAAATCTCTGTGTGTGTGACCAGTGATCTCTAGTCAATTCGTACCCATCTTGGCTCCCTTCTTCAGCAGAGCCACCACCACAGAGGTGTTCCTGCAGCCCACGGCCCGGTCCAGAGGTCGCATCCCACTGTAGTCCACATGCTCTATCATCGCCCCGTGGTCCACCAGATACTGCACCTGGAGACAGACGGGGGAATAAGAGAGGGAAGATGGGAGTTAAAGGATGAGGAAAATTTGATGGAAAAAGGAAGGAGAGAAAGGGCAGAAGAGCATTCTACCTTTTGGTACTTATTCCAATCAACAAAAGTGAAACCCATCTCTGTGCTGCACTGCCATGGGGAGGTCATCAACGTGGTGACCAGCGACCACTTACCACTTCTGAGTCTCCGTAGAAGGCGGCCAGGTCCAGGGGGGTGCGTCCACTCTTATCGGCGTGGGCGGTGGCCGCGCCCCTCTCCACCAGGCAACGCACCAATGGCAGGTGGCCCTTCAGACACGCCCAGCTCAGAGCAGTCAGGCCCTCCTTGTCCATCAGGGCCAGAGACGCACCTACAAGAGGGGGTTAGAGGTCATGTTTTCATGGCAACCAGGGTCATAACATGGCCACTTAGCAGCTGTTTTGTCCATTACTAAATACTAAACATACTTTATGCCTTTGCTACATGTTGCCCATGTGGAAGTCAAACCAACACTTTTGCAGTTGCCTTTGCACTTTTACACTAGGTACTCTGAACCAATGAGAGTAGTAGAGTGGGTGGTGGTGATGTTGAAGGTGAACTGAACTCTGACCTTGTGCCAGTAGGAACTCTGCTGTGCTGAGGTGGCCCTCTGAGGAGGCCATCATGAGGGGCGTGCGGCCCTGCTTGTCTGCCATGTTGACGTCAGCTCCGTGGTTCAACAGCAGGTCGACTATCTGAGGAGGAAGAAACAAGATCGTATGTAAACTCAGCTAAAAAAGAAACGGCCCTTTTTCAACACCCTGTCTTTGAAAAAGATAATTCGTAAAAATCCAAATAACTTCACAGATCTTAATTGTAAAGGGTTTAAACACTGTTTCCCATGCTTGTTCAATGAACCATAAACAATTAATGAACATGCACCTGTGGAACGGTCGTTAAGACACTAACAGCTTACAGACGGTAGGCAATTAAGGTCACAGCTATGAAAACTTAGGACACTAAAGAGGCCTTTCTACTGACTCTGAAAAACACCTAAAGAAAGATGCCCAGGATCCCTGCTCATCTGCGTGAACGTGCCTTAGGCATGCTGCAAGGAGGCATGAGGACTGCAGATGTGGCCAGGGCAATAAATTGCAATGTCCGTACTGTGAGACGCCTAAGACAGTGCTACAGGGAGACAGGACGAACAGCTGATCGTCCTCGCAGTGGCAGACCACGTGTAACAACACCTGCACAGGATCGGCACATCCGAACATCACACCTGCGTGACAGGTACAGGATGGCAACAACAACTGCCCGAGTTACACCAGGAACGCACAATCCCTCCATCAGTGCTCAGACTGTCCGCAATAGGCTGGAAAGAGGCTGGACTGAGGGCTTGTAGGCCTGTTGTAAGGCAGGTCCTCACCAGACATCACCAATGTCGCCTATGGGCACAAACCCACCGTCGCTGGACCAGACAGGACTGGCAAAAAGTGCTCTTCACTGACGAGTCATGGTTTTGTCTCACCAGGGCTGATGGTCGGATTCGCGTTTATCGTCGAAGGAATGAGCGTTACACTGAGGCCTGTACTCTGGAGCGGGATCGATTTGGAGGTGGAGAGTCCGTCACGGTCTGGGGCGGTGTGTCACAGCATCATCGGACTGAGCTTGTTGTCATTGCAGGCAATCTCAACGCTGTGCGTTACAGGGAAGACATCCTCCTCCCTCATGTGGTACCCTTCCTGCAGGCTCATCCTGACATGACCCTCCAGCATGACAATGCCACCAGCCATACTGCTCGTTCTGTGCGTGATTTCCTGCAAGACAGGAATGTCAGTGTTCCGCCATGGCCAGTGAAGAGCCCAGATCTCAATCCCATTGAGCACGTCTGGGACCTGTTGGATCGAAGGGTGAGGGCTAGGGCCATTCCCCCCAGAAATGTCTGGGAACTTGCAGGTGCCTTGGTGGAAGAGTGGGGTAACATCTCACAGCAAGAACTGGCAAATCTGGTGCAGTCCATGAGGAGGAGATGCACTGCAGTACTTAATGCAGCTGGTGGCCACATCAGATACTGACTGTTACCTTTGATTTTGACCCCCCCCCATACAAATATTTACATAGGTTACGTTTGCTGAAAATAAACGCAGTTGACAGTTTCTTTTTTTGCTGAGTGCTCTATCATTGCCAGTACTGTATTTTATTTTTATTTCAAATTCAAGTTGTATGGCTTTGTGACTTGAAATAATAACGTGTGCGAAATTCAAAAGTTCCCACCCACCTGCCAATGTCCCTGGCGCACAGCGCTGAAGAGAGGCACGATGCCCCGGCGGTTAGGCTGTCCCACCGCTGCCCCCTGTTCCAACAGCAGCCTGCACACATCCAGCTTCCCCCTGCCTGCTGCTGCCGTCAGAGCTACAGGGAGAGAGGGGGAAGCGAGGGTCAGTGAGGGTAAAAGCATTCGACAGACTGACACAGCCATACATAGGGCTGTGGCGGTCACAAAATTTCGTCAGCCGGTGATTGTCAAGCAAATAACTGTCGGTCTCACGGTAATTGACTGTTAATTAACATAAACACATTTAGCATCTCCTGGCTTCCACACATAGCCTACAAGCCACTGATGCAGACCATTGGATTTATTATACTTTTTTAAATGTAGATGTTCCATATAATATAGCCTACACCTTCACAATAAATCCATTATTTATTTTAGACAGGTCTAAAGAAACATGATATGAAGAAAATGTAGTCTATTTCAGAAGAACAGAATAGCATACTCTGAGTTGTCCTTATGTTAGGTCCTGATCTGGCTATGCCATATGGCTGTGGGCTACACTAGTTCATTTAGCAGACAAGAATGTCATGAAGAGTGATCAGATGAAATACAATTAATTGCAAAGTCCCTCTTTTCCATGAAAATGACCTTAATCCCAAAAAAACGTTTCCACTGCATTTCAGCCCTGCTAACCATGGTTACCTGCAAGGAAACACGTGCAGTCATCATTGCTTTGCACAAAAAGGGCTTCACAGGCAAGGATATTGCTGCTAGTAAGATTGCACCTAAATCAACCATTTATCGGATCATCAAGAACTTCAAGGAGAGAGGTTCAACTGTTGTGAAGAAGGCGTCAGGGTGCCCAAGAAAGTCCAGCAAGCGCCAGGACCGTCTCCTAAAGTTGATTCAGCTGCAGGATCGGGGCACCACCAGTGCAGAGCTTGCTCAGGAATGGCAGCAGGCAGGTGTGAGTGCATCTGCATGCACAGTGAGGCGAAGACTTTTGGAGGATGGCCTGGTGTCAAGAAGGGCAGCAAAAAAGCCACTTCTCTCCAGGAAAAACATCAGGGACAGACTGATATTCTGCAAAAGGTACAGGGATTGGACTGCTGAGGACTGGGGTATAGTCATTTTCTCTGATGAATCCCCTTTCCGATTGTTTGGGGCATCCGGAAAACACCTTGTCCGGAGAAGATAAGGTGAGCGCTACCATCATCCTGTGTCATTCCAACAGTAAAGCATCCTGAGACCATTCATGTGTGGGGTTGCTTCTCAGCCAAGGGAGTGGGCTCACTCACAATTTTGCCTAAAAACACAGCCATGAATAAAGAATGGTACCAACACATCCTCCGAGAGCAACTCCCAACCATCCAAGAACAGTTTGGTGACGACCAATGCCTTTTCCAGCATGTGATAACTAAGTGGCTCTGGGAACAAAACATCGACATTTTGGGTCCATGGCCAGGAAACTCCTCAGACCTTAATCCCATTGAGAACTTGTGGTCGATCCTCAAGAGGCGGGTGGACAAACAAAACCCACAAATTCTGACAAACTCCAAGCATTGATTATGCAAGAATGGGCTGCCATCAGTCAGGATGTGGCACAGAAGTTAATTGACATCATGCCAGGGCGGATTACAGAGTTCTTGAAAAAGAAGGGTCAACACTGCAAATATTGACTCTTTGCATAAACTTAATGTAATTGTCAATAAAAGCCTTTGACACTTAGGGAATGCTTGTAATTATACTTCAGTATACCATAGTAACATCTGACAAAAATATCTCATAACACTGAAGCAGCGAACTTTGTGAAGACCAATACTTGTGTCATTCTCAAAACTTTTGACCACGACTGTATAATTCACAAGTGATACGGTAATATTGTCACCCATCAGACTATCCTTCATTTAATCTTGTCTTTACATATACTAAATAATGTATATGTGTGAAATTTGTTTTGATTTAGAATGGACCATTATCATGCGCCTGTCTCGAAACACCAGCCAGGTAGACTATACTCCTGTTGTAAAGATAAGCAATGTGCTTAATATTTCCTTAATATTAAGGAAGTTGAGAAATAAATATAGTAGGCCGATGGGATCCTCCTCTTTTTAAGAGTTGTCATCACTCTGTTTTCTCACGCAATTGCATTGCGTATAGAAATGTTGCGCAACATGAGCTCATGGGCTCTCATTAAGTGTTTGATTCGATTTTCGATTACATTTGCATTGATGTCAGAGTGATTGATGTCTCATCGACGGGGCTGTAGTGGAACAGGTTGAGAGCTTCAAGTTTCTTGGTGTCCACATCACCAACGAACTATCATGGTCCAAACACACCAAGACAGTCGTGAAGAGGGCACGACAAAGCCTATTCCCCCCCTCAGGAGACTAAAAAGATTTGGCATGGGTCCTCAGATCCTCAAAAAATTCTACAGCTGCACCATCGAGAGCATCCTGACTGGTTGCATCACCGCCTGGTATGGCAACTGCTTGGCCTCTGACCGCAAGGCACTACAGAGGGTAGTGCGTACGGCCCAGTACATCACTGGGGCAAAGCTCCCTGCCATCCAGGACCTCTATACCAGGCGGTGTCAGAGGAAGGCCCTCAAAATTGTCAAAGACTCCAGCCACCCTAGTCATAGACTGTTCTCTCTGCTACCGCACGGCAAGCGGTACCGGAGTGCCAAGTCTAGGTCCAAAAGACTTCTCAACAGCTTCTACCCCCAAGCCATAAGACTCCTGAACAGCTAATCATGGCTACCCGGACTATTTGCACTGCCCCCCCACCCCATCCTTTTTACGCTGCTGCTACTCTGTTAAGTATTTATGCATAGTCACTTTAACTCTACCCACATGTACATATTACCTCAACTACCTCAACTAGCCGGTGCCCCCGCACATTGACTCTGCAACGGTACCCCCCTGTATATATAGCCTCCCTACTGTCACTTTATTTTACTGTATATATAGCCTCCCTACTGTCACTTTATTTTACTTCTGCTCTTTTTTTCTCAACACTTTTTTTGTTGTTGTTTTATTCTTACTTTTTTTTGTTTAAAACAAATGCACTGTTGGTTAAGGGCTGTAAGTAAGCATTTCACTGTAATGTCTGCACCTGTTGTATTCGGCGCATGTGACCAATAAAATTTGATTTGATTTGATTTGATTTGATTTGATTAGAGGGACAATAAGAGTGCTGAGTACCAGGCAGTTAGCAAGTTTGGTAGGCTGCTAATGACCATCAGCAGCATCAGAGCTTGGAGAAGCCTAATTACCGTGACTAAACAGTCACGTGGAATTTGACTGCCTTCATGACTGGTGACCGCCAGTGTCGCGGTAATACGGTCACCACAACAGCCCTAGCCATACACAAACACACCAAAATAACACGTACCAGTCTCTCCCCAGAGTGTGTCAAAGTTGTTGATCTGTGCTCGCTCCTCCTCCTCCTCGTCCTTCTCTGGCAGGTCCAATAGGTAAGAGGCGATCTGTACAGGAGGCAACATTCAGACTTAGTGTGTGTACGGTATGTGTGTTTGTGTGTGTGTGTGTGTGCACGTGGGTGTACCTCTGTGTATCCCATGCTGGCCCCTGCTATAAGGGCCTGCTGGACAGCATGACTCTTGGTGAAGGCTCCTTGGGGCTGTCCATCAGGGTTCCAGTCACTCTGCACCAGGAACTTGACCACCTGCAGGTGTCCTCGCAGTGCAGCGTGCACCAGCGCACACTGACCCTTCCTGTCGAGGTGGTCCACCTACACACAGGAAGAGAGAGAGGGTCACTATACACATGCATACACACAGACATCACACGCAGACACTGTTCAAAAATACCTATTGGTAAGTTTTGCCCAGTAGGTGACACCATGGCTGGCAGAGAGTTCTATTGTGTTGTGTAAATGCATCATAATGCTGTTGTAATAAACCTCAATGGCCAAAGTGACAGTATGCACAGTTGTGGTGGTTGGTTCCTGACCTTGGCCTTGCAGGCGCAGAGCGCGGTGACAATGGGCAGGTGTCCAGCGGCGGCGGCGTAGCCCAGCGGGGTGAGGCCGCTGTCCGACTCCCCGTCTACGTGCGCTCCGTTCTCCAGCAGCAGGCCGGCTGTCTCAGCGTAACCCAGGTGGGCGTGGACACATAGCACTGGGGCATTGTGCAGAACCTCCGAACGGTAGTTAACATTGGCTCCGCCCAGGACCAACAAACGGCTCACCTAGAGGGAGGAGACTAGTGTCAAACATATAACCAATACACCAAACATCTAATGCAATAGTGCTTTGGTTAGGCCACTGCTGGTGTGAGTGTGTGTCCAGTACCTTGATGTTGGGTGTGTAGAGGTTCCTCAGTGAGGCCAGAGCAGTGGAGAGCCCCTCTGTGCTGTAAGAGACCCACAGCCCCTGCAGGACAGACGAGGAGACCCCAACCTTCTTACTCAGGCCCTGTGGAGAAGATAACAGTAATTTCAACAACAATGTTACTGCACAGTGGGTAGAAGCTGTAGACCCAGATGTTGGAGGTGTGCTTGTGTGCTGAGTTGTGTGGTGGTGTGTCGTTACCTTGAAGATGTGTGCTTTGAGGATGTGGTGGCCCAGCTCGATGGTCTGCTGCCGGTTCAGTTTGCCCTCCTGACGTGAGAACCAGAAGGCCAGGAGCGTGTGGCCACTCCTACAGTCACAGAGAGATAGAGGAGGAGAAGAAGGGATGAAGAAAAGAGTGAGAGTGGAGAAAGACAGATGTAGAGAGAGGGAGAGAATTTAATGAGAAAGAAGAACAGAAAGCTCCACAAATTCAAGCTGTAAACATTGATGTTCCAGGTACACACTGGCTTTGCAGAGGGTCTCGTTTGTTCCTCTCAGTGGATCAGTGTCTCCCTACCTCGGGTCACAGAGGAACTTGGTCTTCTCCCCATCCTCCCTCCAGATGAGCCACTCCCTGAAGGAGGGGTGTGTGAACATACGCGTTCCGTCCCTCCTTCGCACCAGGAAGGGCGACAGCAGCTCCAGTCTCCCCTGGAAGTCCTCCCAGTCCAGGGCGGGGCCTCGCACGGCACCAGCGTTCACCGCCCCGTATGCCTGCTCGTCCGTGAGGGGGTGGAGGGAGGCCACGGCCACGTTGAGCAGGGGGAGGGCACGCTCAAAGGACGACTGGGTGGGGAAACGCATGTTGAGCTGCAGAAGGTACACCTCAGCCAGGCTCACCGGCACCACCTGTGGGGGAGACATGGAGAAACACCTCGGGTCAGTTTTGTAACGAAACATCATATGAACGTTCACAGAGAGAGATAAACACACAAACAGGCAGAGTATGGAACACAAGCAGAAACCTTGAGACATACAGTATACAGCTCCATGACCTGGACACCGACTCACCTTGAAGCTGGAGCTCTTGAGCACCAGGTAGCCCTTCTCGATGAGGTCCAGCGTGAGCTTCAGGTAGAGGTAGGAGCCGCGGCTCAGGGCCTTGAGGTGGGTGCTCAGCTTGGCGAAGGCTGCGTTGTCCAAACGCCCGTTGAGAGACACGTTGCTCTGGATCTCAGCACTACCCTGGATCCGCTGCAGCAGGTAGCCCTGCAGGCCAGGTCGGGAAGAGAATGGAGTTCAGCATCATGATAACTCGTGGGGGGCTTTTATCACAATAGTTGATGATAATCGTTTTAAATCGTGATTGCCTACTTTTACTACAATGATTGAGGTTGAAGTGAGAGATGATCTGACAGTAAAGATGTCAGACAGATCGTTTGGTGTGAACCTGAACCCTACCTGCAGGTCCTGGTCTATGGCATCATTCTCCTCAAGGCGGTCAAGAGAGATACGGTGGAACGGGAGGGGATGTGTGATCTCCTGTAGGGAGGTCCTGACGGTGACCACCAGTTTGAGCCAGGGAGGGAAGCGTTCCATGGTCTTACACAGGAAGGAGGTGATGGTGTCGCCGTAGTCCGGCTTGTGGAACTCTGCCTCATTCAGCCCGTCTACCAGGATGATCAGGTCCTCCTCACATGCTATCTTCCTCTCTGATGAACACAAAGACAACAAGGTTGTTTATCAGGACAAGGAGTGGAGAGAATAAACTATTAGCTACTGAGATGGGACATTTTATGTAGTTTTTTTTGGAATACATGAATGGAGTTGGCCCACACCCTGAGAGAAAATAACAAGTTATCAAATGTACAGCTCCTATGCAGTTCCATAAAACCTTGAACCCCCCTGACCTCTGTGCAGGATGTCGAGGGGCTCCAGCACGCCCCTCCTGAAGGCATTGAGGGGATCCTGGACACAGGAGCGCAGACTGAGGGTGGTCTGCAGGTGGGGCTCCCGCAGCAGCTGCTCCCTGTAGGCCATGAGCTGGGGCGCCCGGCACAGCAGAGCCGCCACGTTGTGGACAAACTCTGGCACCAGGCACGTGTAGGCGTTGTCCGCCTGGCAGTAGTGGTACGCCACCACCTGGGGGCGATAGAGAGTGGAGGTGAATGGGGTAGGGGGAGAAAAAAATAATCATTTTATATAGGTGATCCCATTGAAATTGAAAATATATTTTAGATTTTATCTACAGTGAGAGAAAAAAGTATTTGATCCCCTGCTGATTTTGTACGTTTGCCCACTGACAAAGACATGATCAGTCTATAATTTTAATGGTAGGTTTATTTGAACAGTGAGAGACAGAATAACAACAAAAAAATCCAGAAAAACGCATGTCAAAAATGTTATAAATTGATTTGCATTTTAATGAGGGAAATAAGTATTTGACCCCTCTGCAAAACATGACTTAGTACTTGGTGGCAAAACCCTTGTTGGCAATCACAGAGGTCAGACGTTTCTTGTAGTTGGCCACCAGGTTTGCACACATCTCAGGAGGGATTTTGTCCCACTCCACTTTGCAGATCTTCTCCAAGTCATTAAGGTTTTGAGGCTGACGTTTGGCAACTCGAACCTTCAGCTCCCTCCACAGATTTTCTATGGAATTAAGTTCTGGAGACTGGCTAGGCCACTCCAGGACCTTAATGTGCTTCTTCTTGAGCCACTCCTTTGTTGCCTTGGCCGTGTGTTTTGGGTCATTGTCATGCTGGAATACCCATCCACGACCCATTTTCAATGCCCTGGCTGAGGGAAGGAGGTTCTCACCCAAGATTTGACGGTACATGGCCCCGTCCATCGTTCCTTTGATGCAGTGAAGTTGTCCTGTCCCTTTAGCAAAAAAACACCCCCAAAGCATAATGTTTCCACCTCCATGTTTGATGGTGGGGATGGTGTTATTGGGGTCATAGGCAGCATTCCTCCTCCTCCAAACACGGCGAGTTGAGTTGATGCCAAAGAGCTTGATTTTGGTCTCATCTGACCACAACACTTTCACCCAGTTCTCCTCTGAATCATTCAGATGTTCATTGGCAAACTTCAGATGGGACTGTATATGTGCTTTCTTGAGCAGGGGGACCTTGCGGGCACTGCAGGATTTCAGTCCTTCATGGCGTAGTGTGTTACCAATTGTTTTCTTGGTGACTATGGTCCCAGCTGCCTTGAGATCATTGACAAGATCCTCCCGTGTAGTTCTGGGCTGATTCCTCACCGTTCTCATGATCATTGCAACTCCACGAGGTGAGATCTTGCATGGAGCCCCAGGCCGAGGGAGATTGACAGTTATTTTGTGTTTCTTCCATTTGCGAATAATCGCACCAACTCTTGTCACCTTCTCACCAAGCTGCTTGGCGATGGTCTCGTAGCCCATTCCAGCCTTGTGTAGGTCTACAATCTTGTCCCTGACATCCTTGGAGAGCTCTTTGGTCTTGGCCATGGTGGAGAGTTTGGAATCTGATTGATTGATTGATTGCTTCTGTGGACAGGTGTCTTTTATACAGGTAACAAACTGAGATTAGGAGCACTCCCTTTAAGAGTGTGCTCCTAATCTCAGCTCGTTACCTGTATAAAAAGACACCTGGGAGCCAGAAATCTTTCTGATTGAGAGGGGGTCAAATACTTATGTCCCTCATTAAAATGCAAATCAATTATAACATTTTTGACATGCGTTTTTCTGGAATTTTTTGTTGTTGTTATTCTGTCTCTCACTGTTCAAATAAACCTACCATTAAAATTATAGACTGATCATGTCTTTGTCAGTGGGCAAACGTACAAAATCAGAAGGGGATCAAATACTTTTTTCCCCTCACTGTAGATATCTCCAAAGAGAGTGGTCAATTTAACTGAATCCACAAGAGGGCGCAAATCAACCCACAAAAATATATTTTGTCTTGAATCTTCAGCACGTAACAATCAAATAAAACACAAACCAAACAGGCCTAGGTGACAGTCTGTGCCAACTAACCACTATCATCTTTATGACAAGAGTTAGAGCGGACTGAAGCCCAGCGACAGATTGAGGCTTCATTAAAAAAAACACTGTTGAAAAACAATACCATGTTACATTATTCATTGAAGAGTGATGCCTGCTGTGTAGCTTGTTGTGACTGTCGGGTCTTTGTTTGTCTGTAGTGTGTCAGATGAGCTGACTGGCACTGAGACCCTGGGGGTGGTGATATGGCAGACAGATAAGGTAGAAGTTGCCTCTTACCGCTGGTACATTTTTAACCCCCCTGTTGGATAAGTTTAGGCAGTCTGATCCTAGATCTGTAGTTTAATGTATGGTTTAATACAGCACCGCCTTGGATAGAGTGGACTTGGGAGTGCTGAGAAAAGCTAGTAGGCTTCACAGACTGGCTCCAACGTAAAGCTTCCCTCAGGAATATTTCAGACTAGATTAGAGAGCTTCACTCCAAAAGTCATACAAAGATTCATAGCCATATGCTCCTGGCCACTGACATCCACAGGGATCTGAAGCTAAAAGTGGTCTGTGTGTAGTATTTGTGATGCTTGTGTGTGCTAGTGTAGTGTGTAGTGTGTGTGTGGGTCAACCACTGGAGCAGGCTGTCATTAAGAATGCATGTGGACGCTAAGGGGATCTAATGGCTCGGCTGGAACACTGCTCCCAGGGCCTATGCATATTTCATTAGGTCATAGCACAGAGAGACAGAGGGAACGAGAGAGACAGCAAGAGAGAGAGGGGGGGGGGGGGGAAAGAGAGAGAGCTTCCCTTTGTTTTTCTGCTGCCTCTGCACAACACCGGCAGTCATGAAAATGGAATGGAGAGAGAGATAGAGAGAGAGAAAGAGAGATGGAGTGAAGAGCCAGATTGGATAGCAGGAGTTGACAGTGGACGGAGGAAGAGGGAGAGTGCTAAGTGAATTAAGGAAGACATTAGCATCAGTGTTGCTAGAGCGGATGGGTTAAGGACATAGAGAGAGAGCATGGAGAGAGAAAAGGAGAGATAAAAGGATGTAGATAGAACAGAATGCCGATAATGGAGAGAATGAGAGAAGAGCGGCAGCAGAGAGAGAGAATGAATAATAGAGTGAGCAGGGAGAGGACAAGGCCACAAGGAGGTGAGAGGGCAGAGACAGCTAGCAAACCAGGAAATAGGAAAGAGCTGCTGACACTGAAGAACAAAGGAGCAGGTGTGCAGGCATTGATTTCAGACCAGCATCAACACACCTTCCCCCTTAGCAATGTCTCAATGATCAGTTTATTTGTTGAATCCGGGCCATGTTCAGTAGGGCACACCGTTGTAGAACGTTCAAATAGAAATAGAATACAGTGTAAACCAGACATGTACCTCTGAGCAACGATTCACCCAGCTGGTCAGGGTGGTTTTGAATGGTACTTAAGACTACTGAGATGCAGCTGTGGTGTGGTGGTGTAGTGTTGTACCTGTGAGGCGAGCCTCCGTAAAGCCTCCTCCTGGCGTCGCCTCATCTCGGGGGTGCCAGGGCAGCTGCCCCCCAGGGTGCCATGGGAGTGCTGGGTGAGGGGCAGGGTCTCCCCATCTGAGAGAGAGAGAGAGAGAGAGAGAGAGAGAGAGAGAGAGAGAGAGAGAGAGAGAGAGAGAGAGAGGAGAGAGAGAGAGAGAGAGAGAGAGAGAGAGAGAGAGAGAGAGAGAGAGAGAGAGAGAGAGAGAGAGAGAGAGAGAGAGAGAAGAAAGAGGGAGAAGTATGTTTATAGATCAAGTTGAGTGCATCTACTGTGTGCATTATTTACACACACACAAGGATGCTTTTTATACGCATCTTAAGACACATACCCAGTACAACAGGCCCTTCTAGCAGCAGCCAGCATGGATCATAGTTTCACACACACACACACACACACTCCTGTAGGACAGTATAAGCGTACGTTTGGGCGAGGCGTGGGGGCTGTCCGAGGCGATCTGCCTCATGCGGTTGCCATGGCAGCTGAGCGCCACCAGGCGGGAGATGATGGCGGTCTTGCCGAAGCCCACGTTGCCCACGACAACCACACCTCGATTGGCTGCCGAGTCGTCGCCGCGAAGACGGGCGTCCACTTCCTGGAAGAGCCACTCTCTCCCGGTGAAGAGCGAGTCAGCTGTCAGGCTGGGCACCTCGAAGAGGAGGGGCTTGAGGGCGATATCCGGGGGGCGGTAGGGAGCAAAGCGTACTGGAGAGAGAGAGGAAGGGTACAGATTATAGGTGAGGGAAAAGACACAGGACTTGATGTGTAGAGTCCACTGCACTGTCATTCTGATTTCCTCAGTGCAACGTCAGCTCGTCACCCATAGAGGGGGATGTTCATCAAAATAAGACACCATGGGTGAACTCCACCATTGGGCTTCATATTAAGAACTACATAATGAAACAGAATTACTAAGTGTATGGTAGATACTGTCTGTATATAACAAGTACATATGGTTAGCAGAGTGGGGGATATGGGATTAGATAACATATTGCAGTAGAGGGATACTGTTCTGTACTCCTACTAATACAGTAACACTACTGTGAATGCACCACTAGTTTAACAAGCACATCATTATAATGTGGCATTAACTGACGTAGAACAGTAGAATGCCTTATAATGGGAGGGAGGGGGAGAAGAGAAAGAGAGGTGCATCACTTACGTGAGTTAGATTGCCAGGCATGGCTGTAAGCGGAAGCTGAGGCAGAGGACAGAGGAGAGAGACAACGCATGAGAGAGAGAGAGAGAGAGAGAGAGAGAGAGAGAGAGAGAGAGAGAGATGGAAGGGGAGGGGGAGGAGAAAGGGGAAGATGGATGGGAGGGTTGGTGCAGCTAGCTAGCAGAGGAGAGGGGATGGTGAGAGGGAGGGAGGGAGCAGGGTGGTGGGGAGCAGAACCACACCCAACGTTTCATCCCTGATCCTAGGATGAAGCCTAAGACACATACAAATATCGTGTGAGCATATTTGAATGCATGTGAGCTCGTTCTTGGACCCCATTTTTTCTGTCCATGCCTCAGAGCCGTGGTTGTGAGTGTGTGCGTGTCCAGTAGTTCTGTACTCATGAGTAAGAAAGGCAAAGGTAACGCGATATCTCTGTATGAGTTTTCATTCCCGGTGTGGTCTGATCTTAGGGAGAAAGTGCTGTGGTAAGCATTGTAGTGTGGCAGGCAGGGGGCTAAAAATACAGTCAGAGAGAGAGGGAATAGAGAGAGAGAGGAATACAGAGAGGGAGAAGTATGGAGAATTGGAGGTAGAAAGATAGGGTGTGTGCGTTTGTGTTTATACATCTGCGTATCTGTGTGTGTGCATGTGCAAGTCTGTTTGTGTGTGTTTGTGCGTGTTCAATGTGTGTGTTCAGTGTGTGTGTGATTTAAGCCTTATAAAGCCTTGGCCATGAGTGATGGGGCCTCAGACAGGACCCCTGCAGTGACAGATGAGCCAGGGAGTGGTGAGGAGGAAAGTCAATAACATTGATCTGGGAGGGGAGACGGATTAAGGTGTACTGGGGGTGTGTGTGTGTGTGTGTGTGTGTGTGTGTGTGTGTGTGTGTGTGTGTGTGTGTGTGTGTGTGTGGTGTACCAGGCCCAAAGGGAGGGTTGCATCACCCAATACCAGGCAGGGAGAGGGGTTTAGAGGGACAGTGCACCAAGTATGTCTACACAGATATCCACTCACCTCACAAATCATACTTACTAACACACTGACTTACAGTGAGGGAAAAAAGTATTTGATCCCCTGCTGATTTTGTACGTTTGCCCACTGACAAAGAAATGTTATAAATTGATTTGCATTTTAAAATGAGGGAAATAAGTATTTGACACCCTCTCAATCAGAAAGATTTCTGGCTCCCAGGTGTCTTTTATACAGGTAACGAGCTGAGATTAGGAGCACACTCTTAAAGGGAGTGCTCCTAATCTCAGTTTGTTACCTGTATAAAAGACACCTGTCCACAGAAGCAATCAATCAATCAGATTCCAAACTCTCCACCATGGCCAAGACCAAAGAGCTCTCCAAGGATGTCAGGGACAAGATTGTAGACCTACACAAGGCTGGAATGGGCTACAAGACCATCGCCAAGCAGTTTGGTGAGAAGGTGACAACAGTTGGCGCGATTATTCGCAAATGGAAGAAACACAAAATAACTGTCAATCTCCCTCGGCCTGGGGCTCTATGCAAGATCTCATCTCGTGGAGCTGCAATGATCATGAGAACGGTGAGGAATCAGCCCAGAACTACACGGGAGGATATTGTCAATGATCTTAAGGCAGCTGGGACCATAGTCACCAAGAAAACAATTGGTAACACACTACGCCGTGAAGGACTGAAATCCTGCAGCGCCCGCAAGGTCCCCCTGCTCAAGAAAGCACATATACATGCCCGTCTGAAGTTTGCCAATGAACATCTGAATGATTCAGAGGAGAACTGGGTGAAAGTGTTGTGGTCAGATGAGACCAAAATGGAGATCTTTGGCATCAACTCAACTCGCCGTGTTTGGAGGAGGAGGAATGCTGCCTATGACCCCAAGAACAACATCCCCACCGTCAAACATGGAGGTGGAAACATTATGCTTTGGGGGTGTTTTTCTGCTAAGGGGACAGGACAACTTCACCGCATCAAAGGGACGATGGACGGGGCCATATACCGTCAAATCTTGGGTGAGAACCTCCTTCCCTCAGCCAGGGCATTGAAAATGGGTCGTGGATGGGTATTCCAGCATGACAATGACCCAAAAACACGGGACAAAATCCCTCCAACTACAAGAAACGTCTGACCTCTGTGATTGCCAACAAGGGTTTTGCCACCAAGTACTAAGTCATGTTTTGCAGAGGGGTCAAATACTTATTTGCCTCATTAAAATGCAAATCAATTTCTAACATTTTTGACATGCGTTTTTCTGGATTTTCTCCCTCCCTCTCCCACTTATCCAACCTCACCAATCCACCCACACCCCCACCCAGAGTGATATGAGGCCTACCTCTGAGGTCGTGTCCGGAGCGCCCGGCCCCAGAGTTCTGCCGGGGCATCCTGAGGGAGGTCCTCAGGGGAGTGTGTCTCTGCTCATCCAGATAGGCCAGGTCCTCCAGGTGGGCCGAACTCGTGGCTAATGTGTGTGCATGTGTGTGTGTGAGAGGTAAATTGGTGCAACAGATGAGAGGGAAGAAAAACAGAGTTAGTCAAACAAAGCAAGGAATCACTGAACCGCCTAAACCTGAATGCTAAATTGCTAATGCTAACAACAGACACCCTTGGAAATAGATAAACATATCAGTTCCATACCTCACCATTGAGATCCACTACAAACCAGCACCATTTGAAATCCAACTCCAAGCAAACAGAAGTGTTTTAAACGGTCAGAGTCCAAGACTAATGTGAACTAATGTGTGTAACTATAGCGTGGTAGAGTGTATGTGTGTGTGAGCCTGTGTGAAAGTGTGTGACCTCATACACACCAAACACACTTCCTTCCTCGGACGACCCCTTTTCCAGATAGTTTGTTTAGTTTTTCCCTCTCTGTTAACAATATTCCCAAGTCCGGAGCTCTTCCAGCTGTCCCAAAAAACACTGTCTCTCAAAAAAAGAGTAGGAAGATAAATGCAGTAAAGAGTTTTTAGCATTAGGATAAGAGCTTTATGGAGAATGACAGCGATAACCTTGTGCTACAGGGAGGGACTCACAATGCTCCTCCTTCCTTCCTGTCAGGAAAATAGTGTAATCCTGCATACCACAAAGTTCTGAACCACTGGGCTAGCTGGCGCTAACAACAATTAAATCAAAGAAAATAAGTTCTATCCACCACTCACCTACACTGCAACCCCTGATCTGTTTTACCTATGACAGGGATCCCTCCCAGACTAGTACCCTTCCACTGCAATACAGCTAAAACTGTAGCAGGCGTGTGGCGAGTGGGATCTCAGATTTACGGTGGTTTGCGGGGACCTTGGTGTGGGCGAGCAGCTGTATTAGACTTAGATTTTAGATGTGTTTATTAGTCACATGCACAGGGGTCGCAGATCTAATTGCAGGGTACAGTGAAATTCTTAAGCTCAGAGCTCCAACAGTACAGGTCAAAAAGTGAAGTGAATGAAACAATAATACAAATAATAATATATACATATTTAAAACATAATCAATGATAAATGTCCATGGGGGTAGCCACTGCCATAGCTCATAGGGCTTGACGTGGCGCTATGGGGACATTTTGGGGACATTTTGCTTTGGTGGAGTTGGGTTTGTGTGTTATGTGTTTTTAATAGTCATTGCTATGTGAGAAAAGTGCTGGTGTGAGAGAGAGAGAGAAGGAAAGTGGGCGAGAGGTGTGCATTTCTGCAGAACAGAATGTCAAGGCTCATAAGGTAGCCTCTCTGTCAGTTGGAGTCATCTATTGCATTTGAACCAGGAGATCAGAGCCATTTTGAAAGTGAGCTTGACTACATAGGATGAAAGCGAGCAGACGGAGATGCAAGAGGCAGGAGGAAGAGATGGAGGAGGAGGTAGTTGGAAGAGGAAGGCAAGAGAGAGGAGAGGTGAGGAGAGAAATAGATGAGCTAGAGGGAAAGGGGAGGGAGCGAGGTAGAGGTAAAGAAAGAGATAAAGAGAAAGAGAGGATATATGGAGTGAGAGCAGAGAGCCTCTCGTTCAGAGCCCAGTGTGGGTGGCTGCCCCTGCTCTGCTCCTGAGGCGTGTAGCAGGACAGCAGACCAGAACATCTCTACCTAGTGCTCCCTTGCTCCCTCTGAGCAATGACCCTCACTGAATCACTCTTCTCCTCTCCTGTCAGTAGCTTGTGTGTGATGATCAAAGCTCTCTATACAGTCTTTCCATAATTTCACAATGTTCCCAGTTTACAAGATGCCACAGGCTAGGGCTGTGTTTATAAGCTGACATATTGTCATATTTGACATGACAGTTGTCCCATTATCACTTCTAGGCTTGCAATTCGACTGAGACCGAGTTATATTGGGCAGAACATATAATCACAACAATCATCTATCCCTACATGAATTTTGGTGACGTCCAACAGAACACTGTCTCCAATTGGATGAGGAACATTGGTGGCCTATTCCCCAGCTACCACCACAAAGTCCCCAAGGCCAAAGGATTGTGGGTCATATTATTTCCTATACTCCCACAGTAAACAGAGAGAATGCTGCAGTGGGGGGCTTGGGGCGCTGCACTCGTTCTCTCCAACATTCACCCTTCTTTATCTCACTCTGCTGACAAGTTTCTCATTACCAGGAATTACCAGGGTGCCTCCCTCTTTCTATCTCTCTTTCTCTCTCTGTGTGATTCACTCCCTCTCTCCATCTCTCCCTCCCCCCAGTCACCAGAGGGACTATGCCCATGGCTTTGATGTTTCAGTGCTGCCTGGGCCAAGCCTCTCCATGCCCTGTTCATCCTCCCTCCTTTTCTTCTCTCTCCTTCTCTCTATCCATCTTTCTTACTCAGACTCCCCTCTCCCTACTAAACTAATCTTGCTCATTCCTTCCATCTTACCGTCCTGATGACTGGAATCTATACCACACATTCTCCTATATCCGTTTCTCTTTTTTCTCTTTCTCCTTTTATCAGTGTCCCCCCTATATCTGTCTGTTGGTAGCCCTTTCTCTCTTTATTCCTCTATCAGTTTGTCTATCTCTCTGTCTCTCTTTATTCCTCTATCAGTTTGTCTATCCCTCTTTATTCCTCTATCAGTTTGTCTATCTCTCTGTCTCTCTCTTTATTCCTCTATCAGTTTGTCTATCTCTCTTTATTCCTCTATCAGTTTGTCTATCTCTCTTTATTCCTCTATCAGTTTGTCTATCTCTCTGTCTATCTCTCTTTATTCCTCTATCAGTTTGTCTATCCCTCTTTATTCCTCTATCAGTTTGTCTATCTCTCTTTATTCCTCTATCAGTTTGTCTATCTTTCTTTATTCCTCTATCAGTTTGTCTATATCTCTGTCTCTCTCTTTATTCCTCTATCAGTTTGTCTATCTCTCTTTATTCCTCTATCAGTTTGTCTATCTCTCTTTATTCCTCTATCAGTTTGTCTATCTCTCTTTATTCCTCTATCAGTTTGTCTATCTCTCTTTATTCCTCTATCAGTTTGTCTATCTCTCTTTATTCCTCTATCAGTTTGTCTATCTCTCTGTCTCTCTCTTTATTCCTCTATCAGTTTGTCTATCTCTCTGTCTATCTCTCTTTATTCCTCTATCAGTTTGTCTATCTCTCTTTATTCCTCTATCAGTTTGTCTATCTCTCTGTCTCTCTCTTTATTCCTCTATCAGTTTGTCTATCTCTCTGTCTATCTCTCTTTATTCCTCTATCAGTTTGTCTAGCTCTCTTTGCATCTCTATTCCTTTCCCTTTCTCTCTCCTATATCAGTCTCCTCCCCCATTCTCCCATCATGCCCAGCTTTCTTCCCTGACTCTTCAATAAGCTTTGTTTGCACTTCACTCCTCTCAGTGGCCTCTTAGAGGGCAGGTGTCAGAAGTCAAAAGAAAAGACGCCAAACAACGTAAACCCCGTTACGAGCGCCGCAATCCCTTAAACACTGCTAGCCCAGCTCCATTCATCCCACTGGATAGGCCAAGTCAGAGGTGAGGAGCTACAGGCTTTTTTTTATAACTGGCTTGCTATGCTGCTTTTATATGCCCTGACATAGAGAGGACATTGGAAACACATGTTTGAACACTGTGGGGATTTCCTCTCCCTGAAGGAATGTTTTACCCTATTCCCATTAAAGTTAATGTCTGAGTGGCACAGTGGGGTAAATAAGAGCACCAAAATGAGGTGGGAACATTCAGTCAGTGTCGGATGCTGAGTTGGGGGTCAATTCCAACTTGATAACTAGATATCACACATTTATGAAAGTAATATAGCCAAACCCTATAAGGATTTTCAATTAATTATGAGTTAAAAGTGTGAAATTAAATGTGGTAAACAAATCAACAAGAGGCGTGGCTGGCACAGTGACTCACCTGCCACAGAGTTGGGCCGGGGCATGAGGTAGAGGGGAATGGAGTGGGCAGAGTGGGCCGTATCCAGGCTCCTCTCTGGGATCTTGTTCAGGCTGTAGGTGGAGGCAGCCATGTTCTCATCCACGCGGTACAGGAACGAGTCTGTGCCCGAACACTTCTGGGTCTGCCACAGCTTCAGGCTACCCCGCGAGCCCTCCCCGTGCTTCCCCCCACCCCGGTCAGCATTCTCAGAGTAGCTGGTCAGCGTGGCTGTCAGATAAAAGGTAGTTTAGACAAATATATGCAGTGTTACAGTTCTTTAGAGACTTTAGAGCTTAGTTTCAAACTGATTAAGGCCCATGGAGCGAATTTACTCTTCATTCAATTACAGACCTCAAAGTAAATGTTATAACAATAAGAAAATCTCCCAACAGTAGAGCCAATAAGTATATAAAACAGACATATTTAAATGCAGCTAACCCCATCACCTGGCTTTTCCAAAAATGTAAAGAATTAAAACATCAGAGAATACATCAAATTGCTACAGAAAACATGGCTTTATGGAAACATAACTTCCACAAAATAAATGAGCGTCTGTCCCTCACCGATGATGCCGCTGTCCCTGCTCTCCAGGGTGGAGGTGGGGCTGGTGATGGAGCCATAGGCACAGTCTCTGGAGGCGTGGTTCCCGGGGGCCCCTCCGGGGGGCAGCGTGGAGCAGGGGCTGCCTGCAGGGGGGGAGGCTGTGCTGCTGGCCAGGCTGGAGCAGGGGCTGATCCGCTGCGTCACTGACATCATGCCCTGGTAGATAGGGAGGAAGGAAGGAAGGGTCAGGTCTATACTGAAGTACAGTGATACACCAGACTGCATCAGCCAATGAGAAATTATCAGGTAAATTAGCCATGATTAAATTATGATCAGGCACAGCCAGTTGACACATGTACATAGTAGCCTACACACACCCTAGACCGACAAGATGATTGCTGATCCTAGCATTCTTTTTCATTGATACAGTCCTTGCCTGTCACATTATTCCAGTGCATGTGTAACCGTAGAGTCATCTGTTGTTTATGTATTTTGATGACTCCTGAATTTTTTTTCATGAGTGAACAATTTTTTGCAACATAATGAATTATAATTCAGTAGAATATCAATAAATGAATGTGAGCCACGGAAGTAGATTAGATCCAGTTGTGCTTTGATCTACTGAGCAGGGGCAGGGAGAGAGAGAGGCAAGCCCACCTCCGGGCATGCTGGATTCTTATTCCAGCCAATCTGTTCATCAATTATGCATGGCCCTTGCTCTAATTGAAAAATGAATTGACTTGGACATTAGTCATTTGCAAATAAATCGGGAGATTAGTCAGAATAGCATAGAAATACACAGAAGTGGCCGGGTGACCAGGATATGAGCAGAGGTGTGAGTGACTTCTTAGGGCAGGTTTGGTGCAAGACAGATGGCATCCAAGTGTGGAATGCTCCTTGGTCATGATAACAACTCTGTTGTGATTCTAGGCTGGATGTCTTTAGGGAGGCTCCATAGACATGATTATAGAATGGGAGGTTCCCTCCCACCTAGCCTACCCAGACTGCATCTGCGTGCGTGGGAGTGGCAGGCCTCTAAATTGGGACTTGAGAAAACCAGGGCTGGGTTTTTGTTACCACTGCAGTTTGGCACGAAGGGCCGAACCAAAAGCATACTGCAATTCTGAGCTGTGTAGAACAAGGGGTGCATCTCAATAGTCTAAACAAGTTCTCCTTTCCTCTATTCTCCTCGTCTCCTTCCACTCATCTCAACAGATCAGAAAGTCAGATAAAAGCTAAATGAGCCAGAGCAGATGAAGGACAGGACACCAGAGCTGGAAGGCACTAGTTAAGATGCACCCAAAGTGTGAAGTTTGGAGAAGTGGGTCAGGCTTTAAGGGGGAGTCGCTCCAGCACCGTTGGCTCTGCCATTGGATAGGCCTCTGTGGAGGCACACTGCTTAGACAAGAGGATGTGGCATGCGGCGGGCAGTTTTCATGACCGAGGTAGTGGGTCACCTTCCCCTGGCCCTCACCTGCCCTGTGTCACGGTCCGTTGGTTCTGCTCTGCAGGAGTGAAGGAGAGCCTAGCGTCACTGACTCCAAGCTAGGTTATCCATAACTCACAGGATTGATGTTCACAAACAGACCACATCTTCACAAACATCTTCTGAGCCAGCGCATAGTGGTGTCAGTGGCCATTGAGTTTGCCATAAACAAATTAAAAAATCTACGAAATGGTCCCCTTGGTTCCTTAAGAGGCCTTGGGATGTGATCTGCAAACCTCACTGTTTGGGGGTGTGCTTCTATGGATGTGAGGCCCCTATAAGCTGGACCACAGACATTGTGTGTTGGCCACCTGGCGACTATTGGAGTACCACTGATCTAGGGGAAACCCTTTACTTTTTATCCTGATGTCATGCTGGGTCTTTAAAGACTCAAAAGTATTGACAAACTAATAATATCATATTGTAACAGTGCATGACAGAAGGGTGCGTAACCTACCTGACCGTCGTCGTGTTCATGCATGCTCTTACTGTACTGTGGTGTGTGTAGTATGTGTGTGTGTGTAGTGTGTGTGTGTGTAGTGTGCATGCGTGTGTGTAACCTACCTGGTTGTCGTCGTGGTCGTCCATGTCATACTGTGAGCCGGGCTGTCCCTCGTTCATCTTGTCTCCCAGTAGGAAGCCCAGGCGCGTCATCAGGGTGTTGGCTGCCTCGTCCACAGAGGGAGGGGGGCCCAGCTCCTGACTCTCCTCACCTGGAGGGAGGGAGGGAGGGAGGGAGGGAGGGAGGGAGGGAGGGAGGGAGGGAGGGAGGGAGGGAGGGAGGGAAAGGAGTCAGGTCAACACCACAGTACAGCGATACAGATAGCAGGAGAAATATGTATTGATCTGCAGCAGATTTAGCCTGAGGGGATCAATTCTCTATTCTGAAGCATAATGGGGCAACTCCTTAATCTACACACACATAACTTAGAGATGTATCTACTGTGCTCATAACAATTCCCCCAGACACAACAACACTACAGTTCCTACAACAAATCCCCTTGGAGGAAGTTCCTGTCCCTTACACACCCTGGCTATCAATCTGTCCTTCACAAAAAATGTAAACTATCCCACAATCCCCTGCGGCAGGACGTCGGGTGGACTGTACATCAATCCTGTGTGAGAAGCAGAGGGATGGAGCGAGTGCGGCACAGCGTTGGGGAGACACTGGGGAATACCGGAGGGCTTGGAAGGATTAACAACACATTTCTCTCATTCAGACCAGGACCCCTCCACTAAAATAAGTCTGGGAGAGGAGACTGATGAAAAATGACTTATTTTCGCCTCACTGTTGTCTGTGATGAGCTTTTCCAAGCACAACTTCTGCCACGTATTAGTAGCTTGTGTTCAAGTAGGAGCTGTCCCTGCTTAGATATCCCCCTCTTTCACAAGGACGTCTCTTAATACTAAGGACAATCTGGCTAATCTTCTTGATTAAACAGCATGTTCATATTACATTCAGGCAATCAAGTTAATCAAGCTACTGGAATGCTCTGAGCATGTGCTTAATCCTCTGTGATGTTATTTAACCAGCTGACAGTTGTATTAGCATAAACAAGCGTCAGTGTAGTCTGCGCTCCGAGCCAATAGAAGACCCTAGAACGGCTCTCATCATCACTACGTGTTTAGCATCCAAATGAGGTGGCAGTCAGTCCAACGCAAAGACGGCAGATGGGAGAGGACCAACGCCCCGTCTCGATGAAAGAGTGGAGCGGAGAGAAAGAAGGAAGAGAAGACAGGAGTAGGCTAGGTGACAGACAGGTTGTTGGTCCTATGGGCAATAAAAACAAGAGACGGCCATCTGGAAGCCTGGTCTGTTTGACCTGTTTGGCCACCGGCCACCACCCCTACACCACAAATCTGTATCAATGGAGACAACCCTGTGTGTCGACTACTCCGCTGTGTCAAAGCGACAAAATAAGACTGCTCAACAATGGGGCACACATTGCAATTGACCACACACACACAGAGAAACAAATGCAGGCACTTGTTTTTGCTAACGGCAACAAAGAAATACACCATCAGTGCACATGGTGGTGGTAGCGTTATTGGCTTAACACATCATTGTCCTGTCACTGTTAGAACACCTACACACACACTGGTTATAAAATGGCTGATTAGTCACCTATGCCTAAGAGAGAGGGAGATGGCACCACAGCTGAGGAAATAGACTGCATAGAATCATTGATCTTCATTTTAATGTATTCTCTCGACCTAAATATGCCAACTATATAACTACAAGCACATCAAAAAATAGAATAGCTCTTTAGAGATCATCTTTTCTTTCAGATCGTGTGAGCCTAAAAATGGCACAGAATTTAAATAATAAACCCATACAAATCCTGACACTACTGTATGATCACAGCTATCGTTCACCAGGATGAAGCATATGGACCTGAAAAAGAAGCAGGTACATTACAGTGCTCTGGTGGTTCTCCTTTCTCTCCCTCTCTCCACAGAATCTCACCCTGCTGAAGGAGTACAATAATGCAGATGGTCGTCATGGCAACTATCAGGGCACTACGGAATGTGCTCCTGGTTGCGTGTCTCTCTTTCTTTCCATCTCTCTCACCAGCTCTAGCCCTTTCGCACAGGCTCTCAAAACCTCTTTCTTTTTCTTTCTTCCACTGGTGGACTTAATGTCACGTTTTGAAAGCCTATAATTACTGCTGGATCCCACTGATGACACCATTATGAGAGTAAATCTCTACAAGGCACATGGCTGGAAAATGTTGTTCGTCAAACATGTCTGTTCAGAGGTTTCTCAAGCAGTATCAGCCGCTAACGATGACATTCTTTATTACTGAATAGCGTTGGATCCTTACTAGGACGGAAAAGAGTACAACCATAACAGTTGACACTTATTATCCCCCCCAGAAGAGACACACATGAACACACATCTATACTAGAGTGAGCTGTTAACCCCTCCTGGAGAGAGATGTAGACAGTGGCCATTAAATAGGTCAGACTGGCTGCAGGGGGCTGGAGACTGACGGGGGTTAGAGGTGGGGGGTAATTTCAGCAACAGGAATTTTAACAGGAGAGCAGGGGAGGTGGATGGATTAATGACCAACAGGTTATCCCTGTTTGAATGACCCCTGTTGCAGTCATCTGCCAAGGAAAACACTGTTACAGTGGTTCATGTGCCGAGAACACACTGCAGACTGGAACTAGCTTGTTCTGGGCAGTTCAGGCCAAGCTTGGGTCACTGCAAGAAACCTCAGAAATTGCAATATAGTGCATAGTCAGACAGAACCCATCCTCGTGAGCTGCCCAACATTGTGCTAACTAGTGACTGGCCATGTCTGTAGTAGGTGAAGTTGGATGGCGTAGGGTCACAACAGCAACATTAACTATGTTCTGCCATGATGCCCCCCTTTTCCTCACTAGTTAATCCAAACAATAACAGCAGTAGCGTCTCCTCAGCTCAGATGTTGAAGTCATTCCACTCTGGGATACAAGACCCATGGGGAACCTCATAAACATCCTAAAGTACCTTGGTCCCCGCCCCCTCCATCTCCCAGCAAGCTCTACTCTAACTGAGCGTGGTTCCCGTTCCCGTAAGAGGCACCGTTAATTATTTGTTTGTGTTTACGGCAGGGAAAAGAAAACATCAGTTAGGTTGAGGAAACCTCATGTCTTCTCTCTCAGCAGCTGTAATGCGCAAGGGTCTCAAAACAGGAGAGGAGATAGCCATTGGTTAAGTGGTTTTTGAGTGACGGCATATTAACCAATGACTGATATGATAGCACGGCTGGCAGAGGTGGTCAGGCTTCAACCCCAACATTTGAATTGCAAAGCCCTTGGAAAGCAGACTCCTCCTTCAAAGGCCAGTAGTGACAAAGCCTTTTGAAACAGCATGTGAAAAAAGCTTACGTTGCACTGAAATACAACACCCCACCACACAGTAGTGCATTTAATAGCTACAGGACGCTAGGAACCCTTAATCTAATCATTTTATTATAACTCCGATGGCACTGACACATTGTTTCCAACTCCTCCGGAGTGGGTTCATTACTGTACTTCTACAAATCACAACTATCTTGTAATGCAACTGAATAAATGTTATTTTTGAATTGAAAATGAAATGCCATCATAACAAAAGACACAGACAGAGAGAGAGAGACCGAGATAGACCTTTAGGGGAGGTAAGATCACAAATGCCCATAAGCGCTATGCTCCGAAAGTACATGTCCGAAAATAAGTCAGCAAGCTGGTTTGAGTTAGTGGAGCAGAGTGGCTTCGGAGGTTCTGGGGGGTGGGTGGTGGTGGTGGAAGAGAGGCAAGGCTGGAAGATGAATGAGATGGGCCTGTCTGTATGGAGATCCAGGAATAAATACCCTCACCATATGCTGGAGACAGTATTTAAAAGCAGTTGTGGAGACAGTAACTTGAGCACATATGCTAAACAATTAAATTCTGCACTTCCTGTGCCAGAAAGAGTTAACAAACCACCTATCATTTGTTTACAATCATCTGTGTTACAGTTGAACTGTATCCTCAATAAATTAACTGAAATTACATAAACCTCAGTTCAATACAATATAATATTTTCCCTTCCTCCTCTCGAAGACACTATCCGAGTTTACACTTCTCTCTCTCTCTCTCTCTCGGTGCCACCAGCTCAATACAATCGAACACCATTTATGCTGTGATCTCCTTCCATTTGTGTCTCCACATCTCCAACTAAATCTCCCTTAATCGAGACAGATGACACCTCGTCCATGCCTCCGGTCCATCTCCATCTCTCTTCGTGACACACACTCCACACGGAGGCATTCCAATGGATCAAATATAATGAGCTGACAGAGGATGACGGAGGTACAAAATACATGTCATTATCACAGGCTTTATTACAGACAGATGCCATGCCTCGTCATCATCCAGACCCTCCTGTCTCTCACTGATACCTTGCTCTGGTGAGGGGAGGAATGAGGCCTATGAACTACAGTACACACTGAGCGGTTATTAGTCTACGTGCTGTCAATCGTTGACTATAACTATGGATCGTCCATAGCAGGCATCACCGCCTGGTATGGCAACTGCTTGGCCTCCGACTGCAAGGCACTACAGAGGATAGTGCGTACGGCCCAGTACATCACTTGGGCCAAGCTTCCTGCCATCCAGGACCTCTATACCAGGTGGTGTCAGAGGAAGGTCCTAAAAATTGTCAAAGACTCCAGCCACCCTAGTCATAGACTGTTCTCTCTGCTACCGCACGGCAAGCGGTACCGGAGCGCCAAGTCTAGGTCCAAAAGGCTTCTTAACAGCTTCTACCCCCAAGCCATAAGACTCCTGAATAGCTAGTCATGGCTACCCAGACTATTTGCATTGTCCCCACCCCATCCCCCTCTTTTACGCTGCTGCTACTCTGTTTATTATTTATGCATAGTCACTTTAACTCTACCCACATGTACATATTACCACACACGCACATTGACTCTACCGGTAACCCCGTGTATATAGCCTCCCTACTGTTATTTTATTTTACTGCTGCTCTTTAGTCCCCTGTAGCTCAGTTGGTAGAGCATGGCGCTTGCAACGCCAGGGTTGTGGGTTCGTTTCCCACGGGGGGCCAGTATGAAAAATGTATGCACTCACTAACTGTAAGTCGCTCTGGATGAAAGCATCTGCTAAATGACTAAAATGTAAAATGTGTTTTTTTTTTTTTTTACTTATCTATTTTTTACTTATCAAAAAAAAAAAAAAACTTTATTTTAAAAAACTGCATTGTTGGTTAAGGGCTTGTAAGTAAGCATTTCACTGTAACGTCTACACCTGTTGTATTCAACGCATGTGGCAAATACACATTTATTTGATGGTCAGGTGGGGAGAGCGAGAAAGAAGAGCTTTGAATGAGCTGCGATGGACAATGAGACAGCCATTGTCTGCATTTAATAGCTCTCCACCCCTACTTTCACTCTTTCTCCTCCTCTTCCATACATTTCCATCTTTGACCATTAACATTCTCTCCATTCTCCACTTCTTCCCTCTATTCTCACCTCCTCCTTCTCCGCCCATTTCTTGTCCATCACTTTCTCCAGTGTGGCCTGTCTCAATGTGAGGCAGCTCTGAGGTGTGCTCATGGGACAAACAGCAGATATCCGACAACAATCTCCAGAGTAACGAGGAGGCATGACCGACTCCTGTTGCTATAGCGTCGCCTCCACAACCCTGTTCCCGTCGCCGCCGCAAACACCTTTGTCGCGAACACCTCACTCTCGTGCGGGCACACGCCTTCCTCATCGACGCGACGCAATCCATGATTAGGTAAGAGCGTTGTACCCCCACGATGAGTGCAAAAGCAGCCCTTGCAAAAATGGGTCTGTATAGTTCCAGTAGTGTGATGTAAAATGAGCTGCTTTGTCCTGGTTCCTTTTTCCTACGTTGGACGGGACGGTGGAGGGGGAGGCGAGGCCTGCGCTGGCGGTTTGGTTGTTCTGTAAGGCTTCAGAGAATACAGCTGGCTGAGACTTCAACAGAAACCATAAGGAGTCCAAACACCACAGAGCGAGGGAGGAAAGGAGGGAGAGAGGGAGGGGGGCCAGCGAGAAACCACCAAGCTCATTCAGCGACCTCAGCATTGCTCTCTGCCTTTCTTTATGAAAAAGTGCTGTTAAAGTTGGGAGAAACGTCACACACACACATTTACACAAATGCTCTCTCACTCAGACAGATCAGTTCCTGACAGACCGAGGGGTCAGGCTTACCATACCAGTGCATATCCAGGTCAGTATTCTTGGCACAGGGAGAGGTTGATGTAGGGAGAGAAAGCTCCTATTCTGGAATGGGAGGACCCCCCTCCAAAAATGCACAAGCATACACCTACATTCACAGAGAAAGACAGACAGAAAAAGGGCAGGGAGCCACAGAGGAGCAGAGAGGGAACCACTAACCAGACAGAGAAAGAGAGATAGGGCTGGCTTGTGAAGAGGAGGTCCAGAGCACAGATGGTAATGCTTATGGGAAGTGTGTCAACCCAGGCTGTGCAGGGGGAGGGTAGAGTTACTCTGTTGTTGGGTCACAGACACGGGGACGGTCAAACAAGGGGCCCAGGGTCATCGCCCCTTTGACCTTGCCACCCCGAGAGCCGTCTGCAGCGGACAAGGGGGTGTCGGAGTCAGGGTGGGTCATGTGTCACTGCTTTTAAGAGATGGCCAATCTGTCTTCCCTGCATGTCCGGTTAGCGTCAGTGGACGGCCTTGTCTTGTTTATGCAACAAGATACCATACCTACTGTTTGTTAGCTTTACCAAGACATCTACATCTAGCCACAACAGCTGCACTTAAGCACTTGGTGTCATCTGATGAAGTTAACTTATACATACACAAACACACAACGCATAAGTACTGTAACTATAAATGTTGTTGCAACAAGCCTAGAGACAACTCTTGAAAACAAGTATAAAATTAGTAGGAACAGACACAGAATTCAAACAAAAAGATGTTGCTTCTCCACCTAAGGGTGGGGAATACAAAGGGAGTAATTAGGAAACATGAAACTCAAAGTGAAAAGTTTATGACATATTTTAGTGGCAATTCCTGCATGCATTCCATTAATTTTGGTTTGAAAAACAAACAAAAAAACTAAAGCATGTCTGGCTCTTTGATGTGAAAAGAAAGGGGAATGCCCAGAGTTTTAATGTAGCAGTATTTTGACCACAGCAGGTTTTTGTCAGGCTTTCACAATGTGAGAACAGTGGGAATATTTATAGACGGGACAAGTGATTACAAAGTGAGTCCTTCCACGGTTTGTTTCTTGACAAGCAGATGTGAAGACTATGTGAGTTTACCAGGCAGCTTTTGGAGATGCCAGCCAGTGCACCAAATCTTGGCCTACTATGTGGAGCTGGAGTGAGTTGAGAGACTTATAAGAGAATCACAGTCTGGGCTGTGGGGAAGCGGTTTCAGACGAGAGTGTCATTCGGAGCGAGAGCCATGTCTCTAAGACAAACACGGCATCCTAAGAAAATAATGTTTAAATGGATGAGGGAATAAAACAGACAGGAATATCAGCTAATGGTCAAAGCCCACTCTCCTTTAAGTTTCCAGTTGGCAAGAGTTAGGAGGAGACCTCTCCAGAATGATACTACAAGATGAAAGCATTCCAGTTGTGCTATTGCAGTCTTTCTTCTCTCTTTTTTTAAAGTAACTGTCCAGTGTTTTCAGATTTCTATGAAATATGACCTATAATTAATTACAATGAGTGAAATAGTTTTCCTTCCAAAATGTTTTAATTAAGTTTGTTAAAAATCAGCTTTTCTTTGTTGGAAGGGTGTGGGCGTAGCCCAACAGAATGGTGTGGGCGTTTACTGCTCATTAAAAATATTCATGCGAGTAGACCGCCGATTGGCCCGCTAATCCTCCTCTAAGAGGAAATAGTAAGCATTTTTTAAACGGTCTGTTTGAGATACAAAAGTTTGAGGTGGGATTTTTCAAGTGTTTTTATATTTTCGCTTTGACCACAAATATGAGTATATAGGATGAGTCAAACAACATTATTTGGGTATACAGTGCATTCGGAAAATATTCAGACCCCTTGACTTTTCCCCCCCAAAATTACATTTCAGCCTTATTCTAAAATAGTTAAATTAAAAGTTTTCCTCATCAATCTACACACAATACCCCATAAGGACAAAGCAAAAACAGGTTTTTAGAAATTTTAGCAAATGTATTAAAAATACAAAACAGAAATACCTTATTTACATAATAATTATTCAGACCCTTTGCTATGAGACTCGAAATTGAGCTCAGGTGCATCCTGTTTCCATTGATCATCCTTGAGATGTTTCTATAACTTGATTGGAGTCCAATTATATTGATTAGACATGATTTGGAAAGGCCCTGCCAAGCCGCTCTGCTTCTTGACACACTGCTCGCTTAACCCGGAAGCCAGCCGTACCAATGTGTCGGAGGAAACACCGTACAACTGGCGACCGAAGTCAGCGCGCATGTGCCCAGCCTGCCACAGGAGTCGCTAGAGCGCGATGGGACAAGGACATCCCGGCTGGCCAAACCCTCCCCTAACCCGGACGACGCTGAGCCAAATTGTGCGCCGCCTCATGGGTCTCCCAGTTGCGGCCGGCCTGTAGTGATGCCTCTAGCACTGCGATGTAGTGCCTTAGACCGCTGCGCCACTCGGGAGGCCCCGAATGCACTGTAAGTTAACAGAATATTCACTTTTAAAAGTGAGATTTTCACTGGACAATTACTTTAAGACATGTAGACGGTATGAATCACTGAAAAGTGACAGCAGAGTTGATGAGTGAACTCTGGAGTTTGACTGGAGATCTCTTGGGTATACGACATTTCTCAAACCGTCTGTCTGCTGGGACGAGTTGTCATTCGTTACATGGGAGAACACTGTAATATGGTTTACCCCCCCCTGGGCGGGACTTCAAAGTGTTCAGAGCTTATATACTTCCATCATTCTTTGGAGAGGAAAAAAAAGAGTGAAATCTGGCATGAAAGCTAGTTGTCTGGGCAAGAGTAGCCACACTCCTCAAAAGCTATCAAAGAACTGTGTGATGTTTCAAGGTCCCTTGCTTGAGTTTAGCTGGAGTTCAACTCCTTCCACAGGCTCAAGGAGAGGTTCTGTGAGGTAAAAGTTACCAGAAAACTAATTGCAGCTTGAAGACAGAATAGTCCAGTCGTGTAAAAAAAACTACTCTTGGAGTGGGTGAGACAATTCTCCTCAGGATCCACCAAAAAGTGATACCTTCCTCGGTTCTGAACCAACCAATGTGTTTATTAATTGAGAGGACCGTGAAAACAGGAAGAATGAATGGTGCCTTGTTTTCCAAGGAAGTGTCATTCTAGGCTTAAAATCTTTCCTCAGGTTAGAACAGTATGGAGATGTCGTCTTGGTGTATTGGCACATCCCTCCATGCTCCACTCTAACGAACAAATTTCAAGGTGACAAATCCGGTCTGTCATCTTTGCTCTCTCCTAGCTTCAAGGTCTGGCAACGACATGTGAGAAATCTGTTTAATAATCCCAAGATAACATATTTAGTGTCTATTCTCTGCAATAGCACTACCTCATTATGGCTGAAGAGCTGAACAATCACAAAAAAGGAGATCTGAATGCCATATGTTGCATTTCTATTTACATGGTGAGATATTTAGAGACAGAGAATTGGGTTAAGAACCACTTTCTGGCATGCAACAACAACTTACATAAGCCAGCTGAACAGCGAATACACTGATGCAGAGCACAAAGAGTTGAACCAGTAAACACTGGGTCGCATCGCAGGCACTACTACAAAAACCACTAACAATGCTACGTCCTTGTTCTCTCCAGGCTATTTCTCATTGGATGGAGATACTAACTCTGCCCGCCAGCTGTCAAGCCCAGAGAGAACCTCCCCATCACCCCAGAACGCCAAAGGACACACCTTCCATTAAAGCTTATGCTTAACGTTCCCTTTGGTCTCCCCCTGGAGCGCTCAAAGGAAGCCAATGAGAGGTTGTTGGGGGAAAAGGGTGCGGAGGGCAAGAGGAAAGGAGGATAGTGTAGGTTAGCAGAGGGAATTAATAAAATGGTGTAAATGCATCATGGGCGTAGAAAATCCCTCCAGGGACAGATGTGACATTTCTCTGCGGCAGCACTTTCCAGGAAGGGAAGGGGCTTTAAAATACCCTCATCCACAGGGGGCTGGGTTGTCACTATGATGGATTCACAAATCCTGCTAACGAGATTACAGAATCAGAAAATATGTTTGTGAGCGAGCGGTCGCACAGCACGCACAGGCCGGCCGAGTAGTGTGTCACGTGTGCAGTCGTGTGTGCAGCACTCGTTTGTGTGTGAGAGTAGGATATTCCTATTTCGGACTTCTATAGTCAAACATAGTTGATGGATTAAAAAACCAATGTCTCTGAATAAATATGTGAGCATAAGTACATGTAGACCAGCACATACTTTATCATGTCGTGCATCTCTTCAATATAGCTGGAAGAGCGTGGGTTGAATCCATAATACATCCTAGGAGTAAGAGTCTTGTCTTGATCATTCATTAATAGGAGCTGGTGGGGTTGAAAGGATTGCACAATTAGAACCTGCCATCTGCACTGGGCTACATGATCAAATTAGCCAGAAGACATGCTGAATGCCAAACCCAATGTCTTGAATCCTAAGAAACAACACTATGACACAACAAAAACAAAGCACTTCATAAAAGCAGACGTGACGCTACTGTACCGCAAAAGCAACTCCCATTCTTTGATCTAGCATTGCTCATTCATTCACAATGGCAGATGAAGAAGA